TGGAGTATAGTAGCCCTTTCACATCACACTGAAATTACAGCACTATGATTCACTTAAATTGGTCCTTTGAGTCTTGGTCCTTTGAGTATCAATATTTATAAAAAATATTTATGGGAGAAAAACAAATGAAAAAAGTTTTTCTGGCATCAAAAAGAAAAGAAAATAGAATTTATACAATGTTACACAATCTAACTGGAGATAAAATGAAAGAGATAACAACAACAACAACAACAACAACAACAACAACAACAACAACACTTTATTTATATCCCGCCACCATCTCCCGGAGGGACTCGGGACAGCTCACAAAGCACTCAAGGTTGCAAGCACGCAATATACAAAAAGTACAAAGACAACAACACAAAGCAACAACAACCAACATAAACAACACAACCCTACCCCCTCCTGATTAAGATCAATAAAATGTAACAATAGCTACAGAATATAAAACAAACTGCAATCAATATCAGTCTCACAAAGTGCATGGTGAAAAATGTATATATTTATTCACCACATTTGTATCCCGCCCTTCTCAATCCCAAAAGGAGCTCAGGGTGGCCTTACAAAGGCCATATATTTACATACATCAATAAATAAACAAATCTCAAGGCCATATATTTACATACATCAATAAATAAACAAATCTCAAGGTCCTCAAATTTCTAGACATGGTCAAAGGCTTGTCTAAAAAGCCATGTCTTCAGTTGTATATGGAAGGCTTGGGAAGTTGGGGCTAGCCTAATCTCCATAGGGAGAGCATTCCAAAGCCAGAAAGCCACCATGGAGAAGGCCCTCTCTCTCTCATCCACACCAACTATACTTGAGACAGAGGTGGGACCAACAGGATGGCTTCCCTGGTAAATTTTAGTGCCTGCGTCAGTTCATAGAAGGAGATGCAGTCTCGAAGATAGGTTGGACCTGAAGTGTATAGGGCTTTATAGGTGATAACCTGCACTTTGAATTGAGCCTGGAAACTCATCGGCTGCCAAACCCTCACAGATCACAAAAATTTCACTCAGTGACTCTTACATGGGATTTCTTTTATTAGGCACAGTTCAGAGTATCAATCCAGGCATGTTTCAGTGGAAGTCATGACAAAGGGTATAGTAGGGCAGTTAAAGCTCCGTGCGAAAAGTCAATCCACTGTCTCTCAATAACTGGGCACAAACATTATCAAACTGTTTGCTTTGAACTCCTGTAAAACGCTCTTTCCAATCTCCTATGATACCTGCAGGTAGGAAAACAATCCACGTATGAACTTGTTAATCTACTTGGCTTACCGTTTGAGCGTCTATCTTGCTATTCTCAGATCAGATCTGCTAATTTTTCCAAAATGACCTTTGCTACCACCAAACCACATGACGATGTAGTTACACAATTGCTGACATTAATGCCCTTACTCTAAAGATAAAGACACCTTGCTTGCATGTTCAGGATTTAAAGTGAATTGTGGCAAAAAAAATTTGCTGATTAAAAGCTTGGCCTCAGAAGAAGAGAGTGAATGAATTGCGCTTTCAAAATGTAAAGTGTAAAAAAAAAAAAGGGGGGGGGTTAAATATTTGAGAGTTACAATCACAAAAAGCAATGGATTATTTAAAAATAATTATGAAAAAATCTGGAAATAATTTTTAAAATCCAGATAAAAATGGGACGTCAGGGGCCTACTGTGTTTTTGTCATATGCCTATCTGCCTTCCTTCCTTCCTTCCTTCCTTCCTTCCTTCCTTCCTTCCTTCCTTCCTTCCTTCCTTCCTTCCTTCCTTCCTTCCTTCCCCTCTCATTCTATTTATGGCTTGAATGTATATTATCTTGATTTTAAATCATATTCTTACTGTTCAAAATATATTGGTTTTAACCTATAAAGCCCTAATCGGTTCTGGCCCAGTTTACCAGTTCGAACGTGTCTCCCCCTACAAACCATAAAGGACGTTAAGATCATCCATGGAGGCCCTGCTCTCGGTCCCACCGCCATCACAGTTGCGTTTGGTGGGGACGAGAGACAGGGCCTTCTTCCTGGTGGCCCCTTGGCTGTGCAACTCCATCCCTAAGGAGGTTAGATCTGCCTCCTCCCTCCTGACCTTCCTGAAGAAACTTAAATCCTGGTTATGGGAGCAAGTGTTTGCAGATTGGACTGATTTTACTGGCAAAAATGAGATTTTATTGACTGCAATTTGGATTGATTTGGATGACATTTTTAACCTGGCAAACTGTTTTAATGTGTGTGTGTGTGTGTGTGTGTGTGTGTGTATATATATATATATACACACACACACATACACACATGCACACACAGATATATATATATATATATCCTCTGTGTGTGTGTGTGTGTGGCATTTGATTGTATTTTATTATGTGTATTATTGTCTTGGCATTGAATTGTTGCCAGTTGGTAGCTGTCCTGGTCTCTCCATGGACAAGTATAGACGGGGTATAAATGTTCCAAATAAATAAAAAAATAAATTCCAAATTGGAAAAAACTAATACAAATTGATTTATTCACATCCCATCCCATAAGAGCCAGGTCACTGATACCCACCTTTTCATATGAAGGGAGACACAGCGTGGTTCACTGCAAAAAGGGGCCCGGTGGTATACTTTGTGAAAGGGTTGTTTTTCATATTCTCAAACTTGATGTGCTTCACGATCTTGTTCAGACCTAATTCTACTACAGTGGTTCTCAATCTGTTGCAGGCCAAGTGCCTGCCAGGGAGCCTGGGCAGCCTTATGAAGGCTGACCTGAAAGGGGGAGAGGCCAGCTCAGGCCTCAGCTGTGGGGGGCGTGGTCAACTGGCCATTGGCCCCTTGACCCGCCGGCGGGAATTCTTCCCGCCATCAGAGGGGGCTTCTGGGAGGAAGAAGCCCCCCTCAGGCAAGAATGGCGGTGGGGGACACCCTGCACCGCAACTTCTTTGGCCCGGTAAGTCGGGCCATGCTATTTCTCATGTTGTGGTGACTCCCAACCATAACATTATTTTTGTTGCTACTTCATAACTATAATTTTGCTACTGTTATAAATCATAATGTAAATATCTGATATGCAGGATGTATTTTCATTCACTGGACCAAATTTGGCACAAATACCCGATATGCCCAATTTGAATACTGGTGGGGTTGGGGAGAGGGGATTGATTTTGTCATTCGGAAGTTATAGTTGTTACGATTTATAGATAACCTACAATCAAAGAGCAATCTTAACTCCGTCAATGATGGAATTGAACTAAACTTGGCACACATAACTTCATGACCAACAGAAAATATTGGAAGAGTTTGATGGGCATTGACCTTGAGTTTTGGAGTTGTAGTTCATTTACATCCAGAGATCACTGTGGACTCAAACAATAATGGATCTGGACAAAACTTGGCACGGATACTCAATATGCCCAAATGTGAACACTGATGGAGCTTTGGGAAAAGAGACTTTGACATTTGGGAGTTGTAGTTACTGGAATTTATAGTTCACTTACAATCAAAGAGCATTCTGAACCCCACCAATGATAGAATTGGGCCAAACTTCCCACACAGAGACTCCCATGACCAACAGAAAATACTGGAGGGATTTGGGATGAATTGACAGTGATTTAGGGGAGATGTAGTTCACCTACATCTGGAGAGCACTGTGAACCCAAACAACTATGCCAAAGGGATTCCTAAGACCACCAGAAATATGTTTTCTGACGGCCTTTGGCGTTCCCTCTGAACCCCCTCGCAACCCACCCTGGGGTCCCGATCCCCAGTTGAGAAACTCTGCTCTACTATGACATATGTCAGTGAGCCCTATTCTTCTCTTGTTGTCAAGAAACCGATTAGTTGAGGGATCAAGGGAGGCATAGAGCAGTTGTCTCATCTCAGTTATATTCTCCACTTACTCCTTTCTCCAACAAACTATGGTTCATGTTGTGGAAATGGAAATAGGAGACTGCAATGCCTTTGCCATTTCTGGCCAAATACATTACTTGCAAGGACAGAGTTGAGCCAAGAGAGAAAAATGAGATTGTGGCTCCGAGTGCCAAACTCTGCTATTTGACTTGTTTGAAAACTGCCATTTCTCAACAGGCCAGTCCAGTTTGTATCCTGGACTGTCCAGAATGTCCAGATCTTCTGTTAATGCTCAAAAGCAATAAAATCATATTTTTCAGATGCCACACATTGCAAACAAGCTTCAAAGCTTGGCCAGAACCAAACAAGGCTCGGAGACCTCCTGTTTTTAAATAATATCATGACACAGGCAGGGCTTACAACAATAAAATGTAAAAGTAATCAAGATGAATTTGGCTCATACTTAGCCCTACTCTCCCATTGATGTTATTGTCCCCTTTGTTCACAGTTTGCAATTCTGTTCCCAGAAGGAAGATGGTAGAAGCCGGACTGAAAGATGAGTTTTGATGATACATAGCGAAGGCATTGCCTCCACTTCTTCCAGGCCTGAAACATTAGAGGGGGATGTTCAGACTACTGCCATCTCCCACACCCAGTCCCTCGCTGATCCTTGCTCTGAAACAGTTTACATTACTCACCTGTGGGAAAAGGCTGAAATTTTTCTAGGAAGGGTATCCAATCATAGATGGGCATCTGAGCCCACTTTTGCGGGTCTCCTCCATGCCGCATTATGTCAACAATTTCCTGCATCCAAGTAGTTCCCGATGACACAGGATTGAAGAACAGAAAAGAAGAGTCCATAAGTCTAACAGTGGCTTTCTGTCTCCCAAGCCTTGTAACTCCTTCATCCACCATTGCTAATTGCTCCTCATGGTAATGTCAGTATCCCATTTCTCTTTCTCATTCTATATTTACCTTATTTGGGATAACTGCAAATGTTTGGCTTGCAAGGCACACAAAGGGCCCTTCCACACAGCCCTATATCCCAGAATATCAAGGCAGAAAATCCCACAGTATCTGCTTTGAACTTGTCTATCTGAGTCCACAGTGCCATATATTCCAGGATTACAGCATCTGTGTGGAAATTGACTCCCTGGAATTAATAAAATGAATCAAAGACAGTTTTATAAGAGTAGAAAAAACATTTATTGATTATGAAGATGGCTACTTGATGAAAACTCTCAAGGGGAGAAGGAATGAATGCTGGTTAGACTTGGGTATTTCACCCTATAGACAAGGAAGAAACAGATAAAACAAGAGGGAACAGGCCATGGAATTCTAACCACCTATCTCTAAGGACTCCACCATATAACTGCAGCTATGCACCCAAGAAATCACTCATAGCAGATACATTCTGGGGTGCACGCTTTTGATATTTAATTGTGCAATTGCAAGATTCACCAATACATGATTCCATGATTAGATTTTCACATACCCTCATAACCTTCCCTTCCTTCCCTACTATGATTGCTTCATTTTTACTTTTATTTTTTGAGCAATTCCACAATTTTAATTTTGAAAAAAAAAACTCTGTAAAAACTAAAATAAATGCAAACCAGAAAGGTTGTCAGTACTGAGGAGAAGAGAGAGGAGAGAAGAAGACACTCACTCCATGGTGTCACTTTATTGCTGGCATTTTGGCATAGAAGAAGGGACCCATTTTATCAAGGTAGATGAAGGGAATCTTATGAGATTGAGAGATATGACACATTTTACTGGTCAGTATATATGGACAAGCTAATTACATGGAAGAGGCACAGGGCATTGTGCAATAGAGACCTTTGGTGACAGTCCAGTTGCAATGCCAGTTTGCCTGCCCTATGAAATAAAGTACTAACTGTGCTACCTACTATTGAGATGTGTTGAATGATAGCTGCTCATTTGAGGAAATGAAGACTTTCTTCATGATTGGCAAACCTGCAGTATGTGCCTGAATTCATCCCCACCACTCAGTATATTTGACTTGTTCTTTGTGATAATATCAGAACAGAATGCATTAAAATTCACTGGTGGCTACAAAGGCATGGAAGTAAATAAAGAGAGAAAATTCTACATATATACTTTGGTTTAACTGGACGCTACTGTGGTTTCCTGATTTGTATTTTTAGATTACTTAAGATGAGCATTCTCTATGTGAGCTGCCAGGAAGGTGAGAGGTCCAGACATGTGCTTATAACTGTGTGCGAAAGCTGAGACCGCTGATGGCAAATAACCGAGCACAGATGTTGTCCAGTCGTTCACTTTGGGCCACGGTGAAGTGCTCTTTCCAGTCTCCAACAATTCCTGCAAAAAAGCAGTCTAGTTCAGAAAAACCACAACAATCTAAGCACAAGTTTCATGTTATATATAACTCGGCTTGCGCGTATGACTCCTTTCAATGCAACATATAGTTGTAGGACCGTTAGCAGTGATCAGTAAAGTACAACATTCATTTCTTCAGTCATGTCCCACTAAGTATTTTTCTGAAGAGCCCCAGAAATGTATTGGAACACAGCTTGAAAAAAAATTGTTCTAGCCCAGTTTGCAGTGAAAATTACTCTAACCATTCCTCTGGCAGGAATAGTTTGATCTTGGGAAATACTCTCTTTCAGCTTTAGCTCCTAAACTATAAAATGGGAATTGAAGGCATTTGAAATGCAGGGCTCTTAAGACTATCCCCTATATCAGTGTCCCCCCCCCTTTTTTTTTTTGTCCAGGGACCACTTGACCAGGGACCACTCTCCAACATTAGTACCAAAAGGATTATGAAGAAGTTTTTGGTCAACTATAGATTCAATTTGGTTATTTGGGGTGCTGATTCAGAAAATTGCATTGGATAGACCACATCAGCTTTAGCTTCTGATACAGAACTTATGCCATCCAGTAGTCGCCCTCTGCTCACCCAGAGAAAACCATATTGAATAAGCCTCAGCACTATAAGAGGGCTTCACGAGACCAGTCACTCTTGTTGTAACGGTGTAGTAATGGTGAGGCCTTGGACCATATTTTAATTCTTGGTGACCACTGGTGGTCCACGGACCACAGGTTGGGAACCACTGCCCTATATACATATATTTTCTTTAAAAAAGCAAAAGGATTAAATGATAACTCAAAAGATTTTCAAACGAATCACAGACGTATAGTCTGTAAAATTAGTACAGGTTGAATATGTCTTATCCAAGAATCTCGGGATCACAAATATTTTGGATTTCAATATTTTTTAAGATTTTGAAATGTTCTGCATTTGCATATACATCCATAATCTTGGAGATGGAACACAAGCCTAAACATTAATGTTTCATATTTATCCTATACATATAACCTGAAGGTACACAGGCTACACAATGTACACAAAGTAGGTGTACATTGAGCCTTGATGATAATAATAATAATAATAATAATTATTATTATTATTATAATAACAACAACAATAATAACACTTTATTTGTACCCCGCTACCATCTCCCCAAGGGACTCGGTGCGGCTTACATGAGGCCAAGCCCAAATACAACAATACACGCAATAATAACAACAATACAAGCAATTAAAATAAAAAACATGGACAATAAGATATGCAACATTAATAATAAGACAGCAAGCAAAAGTGTCACTTTCTCAACTGCCCTTGTGAATAATTTTGGAATGTTTGAGTACCATAAGTGTAGATACAGCCTAGCCTACTTCACTGGATTATTACAAGGATAAAACGGGAGGAAGGAGGTGTAGACCTCCGACTCCTAAGCCTACCTTTTCTCATGAAGGGGGACACATTTAGGTCAAACAGAGAGGGCAAGGTGCTGTGATTAACCAATGGGTTTGTTTTCATGTTTTCAAATTTTGTGTGCTGCACAATCTGATTGAGAACTGATGCAGAGAGATCTATTCCCAGGAATTGAGCTATTTTCTGGATTTCACAGGCTGGGTCCTACATTGAGAGAGAGAGAGAGAGAGAGAGAGAGGGAGAGACAAAGGTTGTTGATCAGAAGGAATCTTTTTCTGGCAGTTCCTGACGAAGAATCAGGCCTACATTAATCATAGTCATTTGAGTCTGGATCTACACTTGTTGGAGATAGCAACCTTCTCATGCCTCTTCTATTAAATGTTTTGACAGTTTATAATTTGCTGTTTATTTCCTGGAGTGTATGTCTTCTTTGGTTTGCAGTTTTCTTAGCTCTATGTACTTGAGGCAGTGGGAGGGGCTGCAGACCATGTGGCTTGCTCAGTGACTGTTTAGAATGCAGTTTAAAAGGATGACAGTTGAGGAATGACTGTTGAGCTTTGAATCAGTTAGAGTACAGAAGCCAGTGTAGGAAGTTAGAAAACTGTTGAGGCTTGAGTCCCTTGGAAGTAGACCAACTGAGGTCTCTGCTGAATCCCTTATACAAACCAGTGCCTGATGTACAGTGATCTCGCAGTCCTGGATCCAAGACTTATGCCAACCGCTCCACTAAGTTTTGACAAAATAGAACAATTGAACACATTCCCCCATAAGACAGAGAGAGAGAGAGAGAGAGAGAGAGGGATGAAGTTCAAAGCCAACTGCCTTGTCTGAGCTCTAGCACATGGTTATAGGTCCAGACACGGACCAGAGTAGAAACATCCAGGTCACATACAGAATGAAACATGCCAGTCAATGAGCAGGCATCATGCAGCTGCCACTTGACTGACTGACCAGAGCACCAATTAAATTGCTTTCTGGGCTGCAGGAAAGTTTTCAGAAGAGGCCAGCCTTGTGGCGGCCATGCACAGCTATCATATTTTGCCTCTGCCCTTACACACCACCTTGGGTGTCTGTGTAAATCTGACATAATATTTATGATGTAAGAGACTGACACAGCTATGTATTTGGAAAAAATATGTTATGGTAACTATCAGTCCCAAAGTTCCTTGAAAATAGGCTGGAAGGAAGAACAGCTAGTAGGAGAACGTACAATGCAGAATCATTGGGGACATTGATCCCAGGAATAGTGGGACCCAATCTTGTTGGTAGGAGGGACAGGCCCAGAATATATGTGAGTAAACAAATATGAGCCACTTACCTCTTTAATGTCTTCATAAAAGAGATATAGAATTGGATGATAGTCCTTAGCCTTCCACCAGCCTTGAACGTGATCTGACCAAGAGCCCCAACAAACTGCAGAAAGAACACAAGTAGCAGACAGCAACATTCAACTCACACTTTGCCCTATTCTATTGTATCTCTTGTAAATGTCCAGAGTCGGAAGGAAATTCCTTCAGGACACCCACAGCTTCTTTTTTCTTCATGTGATTGTGCCAGTGCTCTTCTAGAACTTGGAAAAGTTGTTCGTTTACACCACAACACCCAGGATCCCTAAGTGGCATGGCCAACACTCCATTGATATACACAAACACCCTCAAAACCCCAAAGAATCTGTTTGGGGATTCTAGTTTTTTCTCTTGAGCTGAAGGATGTATTTAATTATTTCCATCACAATGTCCATCTTCCTCCACTCACCCTTCCCAGCAATGAAATTCTCCATAAACTCATCCCAGCTACCACTGTCCGGAAGTAAACTGGTCATGTTGTGGAAGTGGAAAGAGGAAGCCATGTTGTCTTTGGCATTCCTGGCCACATAAATAATCTGAAAACAGAAAAAGAGATGAGAACCCAGATGTCTGAACTCTGGGTTCTCACCACTCTCCACCATACTTCTTTCATACTGAGCAATTATGGTATCCTGAAATTTGTAGTTTGGCAAGCCAGTATAATCGTCTAGCCAAGCTCTTTAAATACCTGCTCCATTTATAGATCCCCAGATCCCATGCTATACAATATGTTAATATGTAGTTATATTCTACAATAGCTTCTTGCCATTTCAGGCTCTCTTGAGCACTGAATTGATATGTCTTCCAATTTATATTAGGGATGCCATTTTACTACATCATTGTATATAATGGGATTTGAACATCTATGGATTATTGTATCCACGGGGAGTCCAAGAACCAAACCCCATTGGATATCAAGGGCCCATAGTATATTATTGCGAAGCCATGTATTACTCAATCTTCATCCATACATTTCATGAGTGTTTCAGAATTGCTCTCCCTTAAGAATGAAATGGTGACAAAGTTCAGTAAAGTAAAATGGTTTGACACCATTGTAACTGCCGTGCCTCAATGCTATAGCCCTTGTCCCCTTCAGTGGGATGTTATTTCTGCAGTGTAGACTGACCCAAAATCTATCTTGTTCCTTGTCCACATGTTCCAGATTATTATTATTATTATTATTATTATTATTATTATTATTATTATTATTACCCAGCTTTTTCTCTCCACATGAGACTCAAAGTGGCTTATATTAAAAGCTTTCAATATAATTGAAAATATTAAAACAGGATTAAATATTATTAGTATTAAAAATTCAGTTAAAATCCATAAAAGCATGTTCAAAACTAGCACCACCACCACCACCCCCCCCCCCCACACACACACATACACACACTTGTAAAAAATTTCTAATGATAAGAAATGGAAAGAGGTCAAATATTAGAGCCTTGGCTCATAATAAACATCACCCCATTTTTTCTCACCTTGCAGTTCTGTTCCCAGAAGGAAGGTGGTAGGTGCTGAACTGGGAAATGGGTTTTGAATGTGCGTGGAGAGGGCATTGCCTCTATATTTTCAATGCCTGTGACACCGGAAGAAAAGATTACGGTTGTTGCCAGGAAATGCACACATCCATATATCACCTCCGTGAAAGAGTAATTCCTCCTCACTTGTAGGGATGGAATGTAGAAAACTCAGCTCTATGAAGGGACAACGTTGATAGATGGGGCCCCGAGCACATTTCTCTGAGTCTCCTCCATGCTGGATCATATCCACAATTTCCTGCATCCAAGTAGTCCCTGGAATGGGAAAACATTGGGAAAAGAAGTGTGAAGAGCATATAATTCATCCAATGGGTATTTAACTATACCTCATTCTGTTTTGGTGTCTTCCTGACTTACCTCCCCACCCCCTTCCAATCCTTTTTACCTGTGACGACATTTACCTGCTTTGGGGTAAGTGCAAATAAGAACATCATCAGGCCGAGCTTTAAAGTTCTGTATCTCCTCCCAATACTTCACAGTTTCCTTGCAGTAAGGGATTCCATCAAAATTCACCAGCAATGAGTCCTTGGTTGAGTTGGGATCCAAACTTTCCATTCCTGGTTGGAAATCCATTATCTAGTGAGGCAGGGAAAGTATTGGTAAGAGCATATTGACATACTTCATGTCCCAAAGTTGCTCTCATGTCCTATTCCTCTAGTGATACCTTTTTGGCATTGAAGGTAAAGAAAATGTCCACCTACCAGCTTTTTGCCTTCCACTCTGACAGTCTGGTGACTTTTCTTTATCTGGCAGTCTCACTCTCTTATACATACCCACATTCCCCAAAGTTTGTTCATGAGAGAGGAGGGGGTGTGATCTCTTGATTGATAGTTTTCAAGTGTTCCAGTAGAATTTTTTGACATTGTGTTCAAGGATGGCTGAAAAGATACAGCAGCAAATGATAAAACTTTTAATCAACACGGCTGCGAAGGATGATAATAGACCAGCTTCAGACAAAGGGGGAAAACAAGCTGATAATCCAGAAGAAGATCTTGAGGAAAGAGTTGTGGTATCAGAAAGACACAAAGAATAGTTAACAAGGAAAAACAAACAGACCCGAACAGAAGTGGAACTAGTTGTAGAGAAAAATAAGATAGTGGAGACTACAATGATCTAAAAATAGTTTGTATAAACTATAATCTATATAGATACTTAAAAGAAGCTCAGTCTATCCAAGGGGTGAAACTGGGGTGAAAGAAGTTAAAATATCTGGGGGTTTACATCCCTAAAAACTTAAATAATATAATCCAAATAAACTATAAACAATTATGGAAAAAAGGAAGTAAACAAATCAAAAGGGTGCAAAATATGGAATTGGGACATCACAACTAGGCTGAAGGCATGCAAAATGATCATATTACCTAATTTTTTATATCTATTCCAAACCCTCCAATTTAGTATCCCACCTAAAATAATCAAGAAATTTATTTTATTTATTTACTTACTGTATTTGTATACCACCTTTCTCAGTCTTTTGGCAACTCAAGGCAGTTTACAGGCAACAAGTAATATACACAATCCCTCAGTTCTTGTGGGTTTTTTCGGGCTATATGGCCATGTTCTAGAGGCATTTCTCCTGACGTTTCGCCTGCATCTATGGCAGTGGTTCTCAACCTTCCTAATGCCGTGACCCCTTAATGCAGTTCCTCATGTTGTGGTGACCCCCCAACCAAATTTGACACAATTACTAGATACACCCAAATTTGAATACTGGTGGGGTTGGGGGGAGGGTTGGTTTTGTCATTTGGGAGTTGTAGGTAAAGGTTTTCCCCTGACATTATGTCCAGTCATGTCTGACTTGGGTGTGGTGCTCATCTCCATTTCTAAGCCAAAGAGCCAGTGTTGTCCGTAGACACCTCCAAGGTCATGTGGCCAGCATAACTGCAGGGAGCATGGTTACCCATTGATCTACTATTGATCTACTCACATTTGCATGTTTTTGAACTGCTAGGTTGGCAGAAGCTGGGGATGACATGAGAAGCTCACGCTTGCTGGATTTGAACCTGCACCCTTTCGGTCAACAAGCTCAGCAACTCAATCAAAGAGCATTCTGATCTCCACCAATGATGTAATTGAAACAAACTTGGCACACAGATATCCCTTAACCAACAGAAAATATTGGAAGGGTTTGGTGGCCATTGACCTTGGTTTTGGAGCTGTAGCTCACCTACATCAGGCGAGCACTGTGGACTCAAACAATGATGGATCTGGACCAAACCTGGCAAGAATACTCAATCTGCCCAAATGTGAACACTGGTAGAGTTTGGGGAAATTAGACTTTGACACTTGGGAGTTGTAGTTGCTAGGATTTATAGTTCACCTACAATCAAAGAGCATTCTGAACTCCATCAAGCCGCAAGGGAGCCAAGTGAGCCTTCACACAAGCCCACCTTGGGCTCCTCCACGGCCTCGCCATTTGGCGAGTGCGCGGGGGCGCCCAGGGAGGGCTCGTGCGAAGGCTGCCTCGGCTCCCATGGCTCCCTTGCAACCTCGCCATTTGGTGAAGCCGCAAGGGAGCCTTCACACGAGCCCTCCTTGGGCTCCTCCACGGCCTCGCCATTTGGCGAGCGCGCAGGGAACCCAGGGAGGGCTCTTGCGAAGGCTGCCTCGGCTCCCTTGCGGCCTCGCCATTTGGTGAAGCCGCAAGGGAGCCTTCACACGAGCCCTCCTTGGGCTCCTCCACGGCCTCGCCATTTGGCGAGCGCGCAGGGAACCCAGGGAGGGCTCTTGCGAAGGCTGCCTCGGCTCCCTTGCGGCCTCGCCATTTGGTGAAGCCGCAAGGGAGCCTTCACACGAGCCCTCCTTGGGCTCCTCCACGGCCTCGCCATTTGGCGAGCGCGCGGGGGAGCCCAGGAAGGGCTCGTGCGAAGGCTGCCTTGGCTCCCTCGCGGCCTCGCCATTTGGTGAAGCCGCAAGGGAGCCAAGTGAGCCTTCACACAAGCCCACCTTGGGCTCCTCCACGGCCTCGCCATTTGGCGAGTGCGCGGGGGAGCCCAGGGAGGGCTCGCGCGCGGGGGCGCCCAGGGAGGGCTCGTGCGAAGGCTGCCTCGGCTCCCATGGCTCCCTTGCAACCTCGCCATTTGGTGAAGCCGCAAGGGAGCCTTCACACGAGCCCTCCTTGGGCTCCTCCACGGCCTCGCCATTTGGCGAGCGCGCAGGGAACCCAGGGAGGGCTCTTGCGAAGGCTGCCTCGGCTCCCTTGCGGCCTCGCCATTTGGTGAAGCCGCAAGGGAGCCTTCACACGAGCCCTCCTTGGGCTCCTCCACGGCCTCGCCATTTGGCGAGCGCGCGGGGGAGCCCAGGAAGGGCTCGTGCGAAGGCTGCCTTGGCTCCCTCGCGGCCTCGCCATTTGGTGAAGCCGCAAGGGAGCCAAGGGAGCCTTCACACGAGCCCTCCTTGGGCTCCTCCACGGCCTCGCCATTTGGCGAGCGCGCGGGGGAGCCCAGGAAGGGCTCGCGCGAAGGCTGCCTTGGCTCCCTCGCGGCCTCGCCATTTGGTGAAGCCGCAAGGGAGCCAAGGGAGCCTTCACACGAGCCCTCCTTGGGCTCCTCCACGGCCTCGCCATTTGGCGAGCGCGCGGGGGAGCCCAGGAAGGGCTCGCGCGAAGGCTGCCTTGGCTCCCTCGCGGCCTCGCCATTTGGTGAAGCCGCAAGGGAGCCAAGGGAGCCTTCACACGAGCCCTCCTTGGGCTCCTCCACGGCCTCGCCATTTGGCGAGCGCGCAGGGAACCCAGGGAGGGCTCTTGCGAAGGCTGCCTCGGCTCCCTTGCGGCCTCGCCATTTGGTGAAGCCGCAAGGGAGCCTTCACACGAGCCCTCCTTGGGCTCCTCCACGGCCTCGCCATTTGGCGAGCGCGCGGGGGAGCCCAGGAAGGGCTCGCGCGAAGGCTGCCTTGGCTCCCTCGCGGCCTCGCCATTTGGTGAAGCCGCAAGGGAGCCAAGGGAGCCTTCACACGAGCCCTCCTTGGGCTCCTCCCCGGCCTCGGGAGCCTTCACACGAGCCCTCCTTGGGCTCCTCCACGGCCTCGCCATTTGGCGAGCGTGCGGGGGAGCCCAGGAAGGGCTCGCGCGAAGGCTGCCTTGGCTCCCTCGCGGCCTCGCCATTTGGTGAAGCCGCAAGGGAGCCAAGGGAGCCTTCACACGAGCCCTCCTTGGGCTCCTCCATGGCCTCACCATTTGGCGAGCACGCGGGGGAGCCCAGGAAGGGTTCGCGCGAAGGCTGCCTCGGCTTCCTTGGCTCCCTTGCAGCCTCGCACGAAGCCTCTCTCGCCTAGACTGTGCTCCCGCCGGGCGGCAGGGGCACGATCTAGGAGAGAGAGGCTTCATGCAAGGCTAGGCCCCGCACGAAGCCTCTCTCGCCTAAGCTGCGCCCCTGCCGCCCGTGCTAGGCCCTGCACGAAGCCTCCCTCGCCTAACCCGCGTTCCTGCCAGCCGGCGGGATCGCGATCTCGGCGAGGGAAGTTTCATGTAAGGCAGCCATTTTGAGGGGGCGGGGCCAACCGAGGCCCCTTCGCGACCCCCAGAAAATGGCCCAGCGACCCCCCTGGGGGTCGCGACCCCCAGGTTGAGAACCGCTGCCCTAGGAATGTGCCTGGAGCAAACTCTTCTTGAAAGGTGATTAGATGTCCCTGCCTGTTTTTCTCTCTGCTGTTTTTGCTGTTGCAATTTTAGAATTTTTTAATACTGGTAGCCAGATTTTGTTCATTTTCATGGTTTCTTTCTTTCTGTTGAAATTGTCCACATGTTTGTGGATTTCAATGGCTTCTCTGTGTAGTCTGACATGGTGGTTGTGAGAGTGGTCCAGCATTTTTGTGTTCTCAAATAAAATGCTGTGTCCAGGTTGGTTCATCAGGTGCTCTGCTATGGCTGATTTCTCTGGTTGGAGTAGTCTGCAGTGCCTTTCATGTTCCTGGATTCTTGTTTGCTCCAGGCACAGTCAGCCCATTGTATGCTAATCAAAGTGGTCAGTTGAAAGATTCACACCTAGCCCAACTTACAAAAGCCCTTTGTCTCACCCTGGTCATTCCACAGATATATAAACCCCTTTCTTCCCAGTTCCAGCAGACCTCACCTCTGAGGATGCTTGCCATAGATGCAGGCGAAACGTCAGGAGAAATGCCTCTAGAACATGGCCATATAGCCCGAAAAAACCCACAAGAACTGAGTGATTCCAGCCATGAAAGCCTTCGACAATACAATATACATAATATCTAAATGCAAATAAAACATTAAATACAATATAAAACCACAACAGAAATAATAAGCAATAGCCAGGAGATAGATGTTATGAAATGGGATAACTCAGTTAAAACTTGGAAAAAATACAAAAGTTCCATAAAATAATTAAGACGGAAATGGAGGGAAAATCCCACAATATCTGCTTTGAACTTGGTTATCTGAGTCCACAATGCCATATATTCCAATTCAATGCAGATAATGTGGGATTTTCTTCAGCTGTGTGGAAGGGGCCCCTGAGACTCAGGGTTGCTTCAGAGTCTCCATAGTAAATCCTGAAGGTGGTGGTGGCTTCAGTCTCATGGAGATCCGGTTGCATAATAATAATTGCGGCACATTGTGTCACATAGGATTCCAACATCTGTGTGAAACCTGACTGCCCGGAATCAATCAAATCAATCAAAGACAGTTTTATAAGAATAGAAAAAAACATTTATTGATTATGAAAATGACTACTTGATGAAAACTGCCAAGGGGAGAAGGAATGAATGCTGGGTAGACTTGAGTATCTCACCCTATAGACAAGGAAGAAACAGATAAAACAAGAGGGAACAGGCCATGGAATTCTAGACCACCTATCTCTAAGGACTCCACCATATAACTGCAGCTATGCACCCAAGAAATCACTCATAGCAGATACATTCTGAACTGAGCGCTTTTGATATTCAATTGTGCAATTGCACCGATTCACCAATACATGATTCAACAATTAGATTTTCACATACCCTCATAATCTTACCTTTTTCCCCTATACTGATTGCTTAATTTTTACTTTTATTTTTAGAGTAAAACCACTATTTTAATTTTGAAAAACATCCATAAAATCTAAAATAGATGCAAAACAGACAGGTTGTCAGTACTGAGGAAGAGAGAAGAAGACACTCACTCCATGGTGTCACTTTATTGGTGGTATTTTGGCATAGAAGAAGAAGAAGGGACCCATTTTACCAAGGTAGATGAGGGGAACCTTATGGGATTGAGAGGTATGACAGATTTTACTGGTCAGTAGATATGGACAAGCTAATCACAGGGAAGAAGCACAGGGCATTGTACAATAGAGGCCTTTGGTAGCAGTCTAGCTGCAATGCCAGTTTGCCTGCCCTATGAAATAAAGTAAAGAATGTACTAAAATTCGGTTAAAATACAAAGACATTGAAGTTAAAAAAAGAGAGAGAAATCTAATATACACTTTGGTTTAGCTGGACATTGCTGTGGTTTCTCAGATTACTTATGATCAGTGTTCTTTATGTGTTGCCAGGAAGGTGAAAGGTCCAGAGGTGTGCTTATAACTGCGTGCGAAAGGTAAGGCCACTGTTGGCAAATAACCGAGCACAGATGTTGTCCAGTCGTTTACTTTGGGCCAGGGTGAGGTGCTCTTTCCAGTCTCCAACGATTCCTACAAGAAAGCAATTTAGTTCAGAAAAACCACAACAATCTAAGAACAAGTTTCACGTTATCTGTAACGACTTAAGTGTATGACTCCCTTCAATGCAACATATAGTTGTAGGATGGTTAGCATTAATCAGTAAAGTACCACTGATTTCTTCAGCCATGTCTCACTAAGTATTTTTCTGAAGAGAATCCAAGTGATCTGCCTGGGAAAAGCTCATCTTCGTCCCACAATAACCCAGGATGCTAAAGGTAGGGTTCTTTTTTTATGACAAAGGTCAGCTTGATCCATTTAGATCAGTGGTTCCCGACCTTTTTTTGACCAGGAACCACTTGACCAGGGACTACTCTTCAACATTAGTACCAAAAAGGTTATGAATCTATGTTTGATCAACTCTAGATTTGCCTTGGTTATTTGGGGGTGCTGATTCAGAAAATGCATTGGATAAACAACCTCAGCTCTAGTTTCTGATACAGAATATATGCTATCCAGTAGCCATGATCGGCTCACCCACAGAAAACCATATTTAATACTCTAGAGCTGATATGGTAATAGTAATCTTTCATGGGTAGTCGGCCTCTCCCCTTCAGACATGGCTGTTGTCTTAGCATTATAAGAGGGTTTTGTGAGACCGGTTGCTCTTGTTGCTGTGTGGTTTCAAGGCAACTGTATAGTAATGGTGAGTCCATGGATCATGTTTTCATTCTTGGGGACCACTGGTGGTCCATGGACCACAGGTTGGGAACCACTGCTCTATATGGACACATTGATTTTCTTTGAAAAGGTAAAAGGATTACAAATGAATCACAGTTTTATCCAGAGACTTATAGACTGTAAAATTAATTTAGGTTGAACATGTCTTATCCAAAAAGTTTGGGATCATAAGTATTTTGAATTTCAATTTTTAAGATTTTGGAATATCTGCATTTGAATATACATCCATAATCTTGGAGATGAAACACAAGTCTAAATATTAATGTGTGATATGCATCCTATACATATACCTGAAGGTATGATGATGATGTTTGTTTATACTCTCTCTACAACAGAGACTCCAAGCGGTTTACAATAAAACCAACACAATACAATGTAAACCCTAAAAATATATAAACATTAAAATAGAAAGAAATATATATGGTATTAAAAACAAACAGTTAAAATCTTTAAAACCTTAAAACCGAAAAATGTATTCAAAGCTAAAGGTAATTTTACAGCATTTTAATCGTTTAATGAATGCAACAAAGTTGGTGTACATTGAGCCATTGAAAAATAAAGGTGCCACTATCTCAGTTGCCCTTGTGAATAATTTTGGAATATTTGAGTAAGTGTAGATACAGCCTAGCCTACTTCATTGGGTTTTTATGAGGATAAAAAGGGAGGGAGGAGGTGTAGACTTCAGGCTCGTAAGCCTACCTTTTCTCATGAAGGGGGACACAGTTTGGTCAAACAGAGTGGGCAAGGTGCTGTAATTAACCAATGGATTTGTTTTCATGTTCTCAAATTTTGTGTGCTGCACAATCTGATTGAGAACTGATGCAGAGAGATCTATTCCCAAGAATTGAGCTATTTTCTGGATTTCACGGGCTGGGTCCTAGAGAGGGAGAGAGTGAGAGAGTGAGAGAGAGAACCGAGTTTTGGAAATCCTTACATAATATGATATTAACACATATTTTATATTATTTTCCATCTCCACTGTTTTCCTATCTTTCTCAAACTGTGTAAACTGCTTGGTGGCTCATGCTTAACATTTTGTTGATCCTTCTACAATGTAGAATTAATACTGTTTGACACTACTTTTACCATGTTACCATTATGGCTCAGTGCTATGGGAATTCTGGTTTGGTGAAGCACTACCATGCTTTGGCAGAGAAAGCTAAAAATCATGTGAGATTGTTCCCACATACCAAACCTAAAAGCCTTGCTAACACAATAGCTTGGAGAAAACAAAATAGTATGGGAAGTGTCTCCCCAGCTCTGGACAAAACCAACTGAGGTCCCTGCTGGGATCCCCTATATAAGCCAATGCCTGGTGTACGGTGATCACCCAATCCAATACCTATGTCAACAACTTCACAAAGTTGTGACAAAATAGAACAGTTGTCAGTACAAACACAAAACAATCTATGCGTAATGTCAAAGTGTATTATCAAGAAAACATATAATGTTCTATTTACCAATAGAACATTATATGTTTTCTTGATAATACACTTTGACATTACGCATAGATTGTTTTGTGTTTGTACTGATATCTTACAAGTACTCTGGGATATTGTGTAGTAAAATAGAACAGTTGAACACATTGTTCCACAAGACATAGAGAGAGAGAGTGGGATGAAGCTCAAAGCCAACTGCCTTGTCTGAGCTATAGCACATGGCTATATGTCTAGACACTGAACCAGAGTAGAAACATCCAGGTCACATCCAGAATGATACATGCCAATCAATGAGCGGGCATCATGCAGCTGTCACTTGATTGACTGACTAGAGCACCAATAAAATCTAGGCTGCAGGAAAGCTTCCAGAAGAGGCCAGCCTTGTGGTGACAATGCACAGCTATCATATTTTGCCTCTGCCCTTACACAGTCCCTTAGGTTCTTGAGTAAATTAGATATCATATTTATGATGTAAGAAATTAACACAGCTATGTCTTTGGAAAAATTATGTTATGATAACTATCAGTCCCAAAGTTCCTAGAAAACAGACCAGAAGGAAGAACAGCTAGTAGGAGAGCGTACAATGCAGAATCTATTGGGGACATTGATCCCAGGAACAGTGGGACCCAATCTTGTTGGTAGGAGGGACAGGCCCAGAATGTATGTGAGTAAACATATATGAGCCATTTACCTCTTTAATGTCTTCATAAAAGAGATATAGAATTGGATGACGGTCCTTAGCCTTCCACCAGCCTTGAACGTGATCTGACCAAGAGCCCCAACAAACTGCAGAAAGAACACAAGTAGCAGAGAGCAACATTCAACTCACACTTTGTCCTATTCTATTGTATCTCTTGTAAATGTCCAGAGTTGGAAGGAAATTCCTTCAGCTCAAGATTGTTGTCTGTGTCATAATAAAGTTTCCTAGGATCAATTTGGCACCTTTGTTTGCCCCATACTGGGACCACATAATCCAATCAAGAGACATTTCAGCACCCTTTGTTCAGTGGACTGCCGGCCCCTCTTCAGCTATTGGACAGATGGAAATCTACATCAGAGGTGAGGAGTGCTCTCTCATTGGCCGACAAGCACCGCACTCCCTCTCTGTAGGGAGACATCATTCAGGCGTAGCCAATCACAGCAAAGCTGGTAACAGCTGGGTGGGAGTGGGAATGACTGTTTTGCACTGTACTGTATCTCGTCTTATTTTGGTGGATTACCGCATGCTGGCATCACTTTCAGCTGATTGAATAAAATATCTCGGTGGTTGCTTCTTCAACTTGGTCACCTTTATTTTGGCAGATCATGCTTCTTCACTTGCCAGGTGCACGGACTCATAAGCCAGCTGATCGCCGGAGCCGGCTACCACTTAACAGACCCGGTACCGCACCTCAGGTTCCGGTATCCACGGCTCATATCTCACTATCAGCGGCTATTTTAAATTGCTCTATTTCATAAGCACATCCTCTTAATTCAAGATACATCCCATTATCACTTTAATAATCCCAAATTATCTCTTTCCTCTGACTTTCTTTTCACAACAGATAGTGTAATCAATATAGGTGAGATTCAGTAAATAAATAAAACAGGCCCTCTGTTTACATTCAGAGGGCCTGTTAATTTAATTAACAGGGCAGAGGGGAGGTATAAAAACACAGAGAAAGATCCCTTTCCACCTATATGTTACAATTGTCTGTCAGTGGTTCTCAAGCTTTCTAATGCTGTGACCGCTTAATGCAATTCCTCATGTTGTGGTGACACCCAACCATAAAATTATTTTCGTTGCTACTTCATTACTGTAATTTTGCTACTGTTATGAATTGTAATGTAAATATGCAGGATATATGCAGGATATATTTTCATTCACTGGACCTAATTTGGCACAAATACCCAATATGCCCACATTTGAATACTGGTGGGGTTGGGGGGAGGGGAAGGTTGATTTTGTCATTTGGGAGTTTTAGTTGCTGGGATTTAGAGTTCACGTACAATCAAAGAGCATTCTGAACTCCACCAACAATGTAATTGATCCAAACTTGGCATGCAGAACTCCTATAACCAACAGAAAATATTGTAAGGGTTTGGTGGACATTGACCTTGAGTTTTGGACTTGTAGTTCAACTGCATCCAGAAATCACTGTGGGGTCAAGCAATAATGGATATGGACCAAACTTGACACAAAAACTCCATATGCCCAAATATGAACACTGGTGGAGTTTGGGGAAAATAGACCTTGACATTTGTAGTTGCTGGGATTTATAGTTCTCCCACAATCAAATAGCATTCTGAACCCCACCAACAATAGAATTGAGCCAAGCTTCCCACACAGAACCCTTATGATCAACAGTGTTTTCTGATGGCTTCTGACACCTCCTCAAGACTCCCCTAGGGATCCCAACCCTCTTTTGCGACCTCTCTGACACCCCGTTGTGACCTTCCTGGGGGCCCCGACCCCCAGGTTGAGAAATTCTGGGCTACGTGAGCCTCTTCAAATTAATTGAGATTTCAGTGAGGGTTTATTCCTTTAATTATTTCCATCACAATATCCATTTTCCATCACTCACCCTTCCCAGCAATGAAATTCTCCATAAACTCATCCCAGCTGCCACTGTCCTGAAGTAAACTGGTCATGTTGTGGAAGTGGAAATAAGAAACCATGTTGTCTTTGGCATTCCTGGCCACATAAATAATCTGGAAACAAAAAAGGGAAGAGAGTCCGGGTATCTGAACTCTTGATCTCTCACTCTTCATCCTTCTTTTACACTGGGAAATTAAACTATTCTGGAATTTGTAGTTTGGCAAAACGCTATAACCAATCAGGTAAAGCTCTCTAAATACCTCCTTAATTTATAGATCCCCAGATTCCATGCTGATATGTAGTTGTATTCAACAGTAGCCTCTTGTCATTTTAGGCTCTCTTGAGCACTGATTTAATCTGTCTACCAATTTATATAAGGGATGCCATTTTACTACGTCATTGTATATAATAGGATTTGAACATCCATGGATTATGCTATCCACAGGGAGTCCTGGAACCAAACCCCACCGGATACCAAGGGTCCACAGTATATTACTGCCAAGCCATGTATCACCCAACTTCCACCCATATATTTTATGATGGTTTCTGAACTCTCTAAAATCAGAATTGCTTTCCATGAAGAATGAAATGGAAATTACTTTCCATGAAGAATGAAATGGTGACAAAGTTCAGTAAAGTAAAACAGTTTGACACCACTGTAACTGCCTTGGCTCAATGCTATAGATTCCTGGGACTTGTAGTTTGGTGGGGCCCCAGCATTATTTGGTGGAGAAGGCTAAAGAACTTGGAAAATTACAACTTCCACGATTCCATGGTATTCAGTCATGATAGTTAAAGGAATGTTATATCTGCGGTGCAGATGCACCCAAAATCTATTTTCTTTCTTGTCCACATGTTCCAGGTTCAAAATGTTTATTATTATCATTATTATTATGATGTTTATGTTTATGTTTATTATGTTTATTTATACCCAGCTTTTTCTCTCCAAAGAGACTCAAGTGGCTTACATTAAACGCATTGGCAATAAATGATAAGCTGACATGTATATTAAAAGTTAAAAGAGGTATATGGAAACAAAGTGATTTTGATGATGTATGGAGAAAATTTATAGAAAAAGGATTAAAAATAAAGAAGGAAAGTTACCTCCACAAGAAAAATTGAAATTTTGGACAGATGACATGTAAAAGCTGTGGTTTGAGAGGGGGGAGGGGAACACAGCGGTGAAAGATAGACAATATGTATAAGCAGAAAAATAACACTATGGTAGGTTGTATCGAATAATATGTATCTGCTGTAAAACAAACAATGTATAACAAATGTATTAAATCATGATAAAATAATAAAAATATTTTAAAAAGCATTTCAATATAATTTTAAATCTACACATATATGAACATTAAAACAGAATTAGATTTCATTGGTAATTTAAAAAATCAGCGAAAATCTATAAAAACATATTCAAAACTAAAACCACAGCATTCCTTGAGTTGTAAAAAACCTTCTAATGATAATAAACTGAAAAATGTCAAATATTGAAACCTTGGCTCATCCCAAACTGATTCCCCCACAATCCTCACCCTGTTTTTCCTCACCTTGCAGTTCTGTTCCCAGAAGGAAGGCGGTAGGTGCTGAACTGGGAAATGGGTTTTGAGTATGCGTGGAGAGGGCATTGCCTCTGCATTTTCAAGGCCTGTGACACCAGAAGAAAAGATTAAGACTGTTGCCAGGAAATGCGCACATCCATAGATCATAACCGTGAATGAGTAATTCCTCCTCACTTGTAGGGATGGAAATGAGAAAGCTTATCCCTATGAAGGGACAACGTTGATAAATTGGGGCCCAAGCACATTTCTCTGGGTCTCCCCCATGCTGGATCATATCCACAATTTCCTGCATCCAAGTAGTCCCTGGTATGGGAAGATATTGGGAAAACAAGGGTGAAGAGCATATAATTCATTCTGTGCGTCTTTAACCATACCTCATTCTGTTTTGGTGTCTTCCAGACTTACCTCCCCATCCCTTTCTGCTCCTTTTTACCTGTGACGACATTTACCTGCTTTGGGATAAGTGCAAATAAGAACATCATCAGGCCGAGTTTTAAAGTTCTGTATTTCCTCCCAATACTTCACGGTTTCCTTGGGGTAAAGGATTCCATCAAAATCCACCAGCAGTGAGTCCTTGGTTGAGTTGGCGTCCAAACCTTCCATCCCTGGTTGGAAATCCATTATCTAGAGAGGCATGAAAAGTATTAGTAAGAGCGTATTGCCATACTTCTTGTCTTGAAGTTGCTCTCATGTCCCATTCCTCTGGTGATACCTTTTGGCACTGAAGGTAAAGAACATGTCCACCTACCAGTTTTTTGTTTACCACTCTGACAGTTAGGAGTCTTTTCTTTATCTGGCTAGTTTTCTGTCAGTCTCACTCTCTTATATATACCCACATTCCCCAGTTTGTTCATGAGGGAGGAGGGGGTATGATCTCTTGATGGATAGTTTTCAAGTGTTCCAATAGAGTTTTCTGGCAGACCTTTCCCTCTGTTTACTGCACATCATTCCCAATGAGCTTAAGCAGTTGTAAAGATACACATGCCTGTGATAAGATATCACAGTTTCCCTTGCTGCCTCTGGCTCAGCTTCTAGGGACTCACTCAGCTTTTGGGGACCGCTTGGTGCTGCTGGACTCTATCTTGACTGGTCTCCCTTTCAGCATCCTTGGATCAGGACAGAGATACCAACATTTGTTTCTTCCAGCCATGGCCCTTCATTCACCTGGGCCTTCTCTTGAGTGAACACTGCCACCCTGGTTTGGCATCTCATTCTTCCCCTGATGGAACATCTGCTCTATTAAAACTATATTTTAATATGTTTTATTGCATTTATATGTTTTAATTGTTTTATAATTTGATATGTTATATTTATTATTTGTTGTATAATGCAACATTGAATGTTGCCATAATTTGTCAGCCTTCGGGTTTGAGAAGAGCGGGGTATAAATACAGTAAAATAAATAAATAAATAAATAAATAAATAAATAAAATCTACAAAAGTATTTTGGAGGTGGGTCACATTTCTATTAACCATTTATTGTATATGCTCTTGTTACAGAGCTTAGAAAGTTACTTATTTAAGATAGCCTAAAGCCTATTCCAAAGGAGCTGTGTTAAAATAACTGTTATGACATGTCTATAGTATGCCATTATATTCATGAATATTCATTAATGCTCGCCAAACCCTTCTAGTATTTTCTGTTCGTCATGGGAGTTCTGTGTGCCAAGTTTGGTTCAATTCCATCGTTGGTGGGATTCAGAATGCTCTCTGATTGTAGGTGAACTATAAATCCCAGCAACTACACCTCCCAATTGTCAAGGTCTATTTTCCCCAAATTCCATCAGTGTTCATATTTGGGTATATTGAGGATTCATGCCAAGTTTGGTCCTGATTCATCATTGTTTGAATCCACAGTGCTCTCTGGATGCAGGTGAACTACAACTCCAAAACTCAAGGTCAATGCCCACCAAACCCTTCCAGTATTTTCTGTTAGCCATGGTTTGGTGTGCCTAGTTTGGTTCAGTTCCATCATTGGTGAAGTTCAGAATACTCATTGATTGTAGGTGAACTATACAACTCTCAAATGACAAAATCAATCCCCTGCCCAATCCCACCAGCATTCAAATTTGGGTGTATTGGGTATTTGTGCCAAATTTGGTCCAGTGAATGAAAATACATCCTGCATATCAGATATTTACATTACGATTCATAACAGTAGAAACGTTACAGTTATGAAGTAGCAACGAAAATAATTTTATGGCTGTGGGATCTCCACGACAGGAAGAACTGTATTAAGGGGTCACAGCATTAGGAAGATTGAGAACCACTGTTGTAAATAATGCAACTATATTATTTTACTACAAAGAAAAACCTTCTATGGAAGAGATAACATTGGTCTGCGTGTTCCTGTTCTTTTTAACCTTTGGGCTACTGATGCTGGGTCACGCTACTGCTAATGAGTTGCTCTGCTATACATTGTTGGGAAGAAAGACCAGGTTGACTCTGAAGGCTGCGTGAGTGTCTGTTCCAACTCCCAAAAGGTGTTCTATGTTCATATAAAAGCCTGGTTACACATTACGTTTATTTCCTTAGAAGTAGCCAAGTGTGCATGGTCTTTTGAGAATTCTGCCCCTTGACCTTGAAGATGGACAGAGAAGGCTGCATAGAAGCATAGGGAAACAGAAGCCAGAGACTGCCATTCTCCACAAGGAACTCATCTTGCCCAACTCTTCAATCCATTTCAAAGTCTTCATCATGCTTGAAATTTTGTTCTTGTTGTTGTTTTGGTTGTTTGGTATGTTTCTATGTAAGTTTTATTTAATCTGCCCAAGTAAAAAAAATTAATTACAAAAAAAGAAGTTTTGGAATGCACTTGGAAGGTATCACTTGGCTCAAAGTGGGAATTCACACATCTTACCATCTCCCCCATCCAAGCAACTTTTATCCAGAGGGACCTGGTGGTGTTTGTGTTTAATCATGTATGGTTAACCTGGTTTTAATGTAATAATATATTGTATATACTTGAGTATAGCCGACCCGAATATAAGCCGAGGCACCTAATTTTACCACAAAACACTGGGAAAACATATTTACTCGAGTATAAGCCAGGGTGGGAAATGCAGCAGCTACTGGTAAATTTCAAAATAAATATAAATACCAATAAAATTATATTAACTGAGGCATCAGTAGGTTAAATGTTTTTGAATATTTACATAAAACTATAATTTAAGATAAGACTGTCCAACTCTGATTAAATGATTATTCTAACCTTCTGCAATGTAAATGTGCATACGTATCCTTCCAATCATCACCATAGTTTATTTTAACTATACATTTTGAGGAAAATGCTGTGTGCACATGAATAAAGAAAAGTGGGAAAGACTGGTGCCAAAAGAGGAGAAGAGGAAGGTGCGCACTGCACCAAGAGAGGAGAAGTGGAAGGTGCATGCTGTGCCGAGGAGGAGAGGAAGTGCACACTGTGTGAGAAAGGAGGAGAGGAAGCTGCGCACGGTGCAAAAGAGGAGGAGAGGAAGGAGAGCTGGGTTGCTGTGCAGAGAGGTGAGGGTCCTGGCAGGAAGGCGTGGAGCTGAAAGAAGCCCTTCTTTCAGACCCACATCTTCCCTCCAGGACCCTCACCCAAGTATAAGCCAAAGGGAGGGGGCTCTTCAGCCTTAAAAAAGGGCTGAAGAACTAGGCTTATAGTCGAATATATACAATATGCAAAATATCTCTGGAATGTATTGACAGCTGGCAGAAAATTATTCTGGGTTAAACAAAACACATCGATCTCCAAAATACTATAAAACCAGAAAGAGCAGGAACAAAATCTAAGAATTTTGCTTTTGGGTTTGGAAGTGTTCTTTGCGAGAGCAATTTGAAACCTTCTAACCTCAAGCAATTCCTTGCCTATAGAAGTTCAGTAGTGTTACATTTAGGGACACACATAGAATAGAATAATAGAATCATAGAGTTGGGCGAGACCTTGTGGGTTATCTAACCCCATGCCAAGAAGCAAGGAAACAGCGTTCAAAGCACCTCCGACAGATGGCCATCTAGCCTCTGTCTAAAAGCCTCCAAAGAAGGCGCCTCCATCACACTCCGGGGCAGAGAGTTCCATTGCTGAACAGTTCTCACAGTCAGGAAGTTCTTCCTAATGTTCAGGTGGAATCTCCTTTCTTGTAGTTTGAAGCCATTGTTCCACGTCCTAGTCTCCAGGGAAGCAGAAAACAAGCTTGCTCCCTCCTCCCTATGACTTCCTCTCACATATTTATACATGGCTATCATATCTCCTCTCAGCCTTCTCTTCTTCAGGCTAAACATGCCCAGCTCCTTAAGCCGCTCCTCATAGGGCTTGTTCTCCAGACTTTGATCATTTGAGTTGCCCTCCTCTGGACACATTCCAGCTTGTCAATATCTCTCTTCAATTGTGGGGCCCAGAATTGGACACAGTATTCCAGGTGTGGTCCGACCAAGGCAGAATAGAGGGGTAGCATGACTTCCCTGGATCTAGACACTATACTCATATTTATGCAGACCAAAAATCCCATTGGCTTTTTTAGCCACTGCATCACATTGTTGGGTCATGTTTAACTTGTCCATGAGGACTCCAAGATCTTTTTCACACATACTGCTTTCGAGCCAGGCATCGTCCCCCATTCTGTATCTTTGCATTTCTTTTTTCCTGCCTAAGTGGAGTCTCTTGCATTTGTCACTGTTGAACTTCATTTTGTTAGTTTTGGCCCATCATCTCTCTAATCTGTCAAGATCATTTTGAATCCTGCTCCTGTCCTGGAGTATTGGCTATCCCTCCCAATTTGGTGTCGTCTGCAAACTTGATGATCCTGCCTTCTAACCCTTCATCTAAGACATTAATAAAAATGTTGAACAGGACCGGGCCCAGGACGGAACTCCATTCGTCACTTCTTTCCAGGATAAGAGGAAGCATTGGTGAGTACCCTTTAGGTACGTTCACTTAACCGATTACAGATCCACCTAACCGTAGTTTTGCCTAACCCACATTTGACTAGTTTATTTGCCAGAAGGTCATGGAGACCTTGTTGAAGGCCTTACTGAAATCCACAGCATTCTCTGCATCTACCCAGCTTGTAACTCTATTGAAAAAAGAGATCAGATCAGCTATATTTGTTTTTTATAAATCCGTGTTGACTGTTAGTGATGACCACATCCACTTCTAATTGTTTGCAGACCACTTCCTTAATTATCTCTTCCAGAATCTTGCCTGGTATTGATGTGAGGCTAACCAGACGGAAATTGTTTGGGTCATCCTTTTTTCCTTCTTGAAGATAAGGACCACATTTGCCTCCTCCAATCTGCCAGATGTTGACCATGAAGCTGCACTAGAGGACTTAGAAATTACTAGAGATATTCTCTCTTTTTTACTGGCAGTCTTCACTGTTATGGGGGCTCTGCATCCTTCCCCCCATGAAATAATTTGCTTCTACATAATTTGTGTTACATTTACAGAAGTTACTCGAATTCTAAGTCCAGAACACCTTTCTGCTCTGCTATTGTTAATGAAATTTTTGGTTTGAAATTTTGAAGAAGTACAGATTGAAGCTATTGTTAAATGTAAAGAAAATTCAAGGACATCTTTTAAGGTCTAGATGGTGACAGTCTTTCCCATGTGATTATTGTTAATCCTGGGCATTTGTATGTAAATCACTGCATATCTAATATATACAACATTTTCTAATCTCAATAGTTAAACAACAGCCAGTAGTGGGGATGGGTGAAAGCGAAAGATTGTGCTTCAGATCCTGCCAAAACAGCGCAAATATGTACAACTCTGATGATGCAACAAAGCAACTTTGGGATGAAACCAGGCAGGGTTTTTAACTTGAAGGTCTGCAAGTTTAATTTCAGTAATAAAAACAACTTCCTTGTCCAAGATAACAATTATTTCAACATCGCTCACTGATAGGAAAACACTGATAGGTGTATGTATGTATGCAAGACTTATGGGCACCCTATGAGTTAGAAAGGACGGTTTTGAGAGCTCCTTTCTCTGAAATATAGCCCATAGCACTTGACATTCCTTGGTGCCCCCCCCATCCAAGTATTGACCTGTTGAGCTCCCAAGATTAGATGGGATCTGGTGTCAAACATTGCTAAGACATTCACATTAAAGAAAGGCCATGAAGCAATGGCTTCAGTGATTTAACCCTCCCAAATCAGAGCTTGGAAACATTCCTGTTTGAACCGCAAATAGAGATCATTCCATATGAAGGGCGGCTCTTCCACACAGCCATATAACCCAGAATATCAAGGCAGAAAATCCCATAGTATCTGCTTTAAACTGAGGGCAGATCCAGACAGACCTTTATCCCAGGAGAAACCACGTTTTAAAAACGCGTATTTTCCTGGGGGCCTGTCCACACCCACCCCAGAAAGTGCATTTTCTGGGGTGGGTGTCCAGATGACTTCTCAGGACTAACCCAAGAGAAAGTATGTCCTCCCCCCCCCCAAGCCCCCAGGCTCTTTAGAAAAGTAATGAAAACTTACCCAGCCTCCATTAGAGGCTTCAGCTAGCTCTCCTGGCGCATAGAAATGACGTGCCAGGAGAGCAGAGGAGGGAGCAATTTTCCTCCCCCCCCCCAGCCTGTAATGGAGCCCGGGTAAGTTTTCATTACTTTTCTAAGGGGTCTGGAGCTTGTGGGGGGGGGGGGGGTTATTTAGCCCAGTAAACTGTGGGAATACTGTCTGGACTGCAGTATTCTGCAGTCCAGAACTGGAAATAGTGGGTTTATCCCGCGCCTTCCAAGAAGGCATGGAATAAACCCACTATCTAATTAATTTGCTACAAACCAGGTTTTTCCTGGTTGGTAGCAAATTAATTTGGGACTGTCCAATAAATTTTGGACAGCTCCTCCTTTATTGCAGTAAAGGTACTGTCTAGACGGGTTCTGAATTCTCTGAGTCCACACTGCCAACTATTCCAGTTTAAAGCAGAAAATGTATGATTTTATTCAGCCGTGTGGAAGGGGCCCCAGTCTGAGAATTGCAGTCTAAAAAAATAACGTTTTCAGGCTTTGTTCCTGAGAAGGAGGTAATGGAACAAATAGACAATGAAAGACTTTTGTATTGTTTCAACTGGATTGATCACAGATACAGGAAACAAATTACCAGCCTGCTAACCATAAGGCCTAATCTGCAGCACATTTGGGAGATTACCATGCGATGACCATGAGAGGGAATCCACATTTAACAATTTTATTCAGTCCTTATATCAGAGAGGTTAGCAAGGATTTTTGATATTAATATAATTAGCACTATTGATAGAAGCATTGATAGGCTGCCAAACATTTATTTATTTATTTATTTATTTATTTATTTATTTAATACACTTGTATACCGCTAATATCTCAGCCTAAATCGGCGACTCATTGCGGTTTACAACAATTAAAAACAATGTACAATTTAAAACAACAACACATAAACAATACAAATTATTGGGCCACCAATAATAATACCATGCTTCTCGTCATAAAAATCACAGTCCAGAGTTCGTCATCCATAATTAACCAGTCCTTAGTCCATAAATTCGGTGGTAACAAACTAATTGAATGCTTGTTTACATAACCATGTTTTTAATCTCTTCCGAAAGACCATGGGCCGTGTTTGGAAGGTGGTGGTCTGTTTTCCGAACAAAAGCAATTATCTATCAAACACTGTAATCTAAGTGATGGAGGCTTTAAAATGAGACTAATGTTCAATGGATCTTATTGTTTTTATCAACAAGAGTAGGTCTTGTGATGTTTTTAGTGCATGTTTAATTATTACATAGTTTTATATTTATGAGCGATGTTTTTTTTCATGTTTTTAAATTATACTCAACATGTTCGTGCAATTCACTGTTCTTTATGCATCGTGATTTGTTCCTTTGATTTGCTGCACTTATTAAATGTTCTGGATTTGTTGTATGATTACTACTATTTTATTATGCTTCCTTGTTGTAAGCCACCACAAGTCCCCTTGGTGAGAGGGGGCGGAGTATAATAAAGCATTATTGTTGTTGTTGTTGTTATTTAGAACATGTCACATGTGTTGGAAATACCAACCTTCTACAAGCCTCCTATACTAGTGATTTGTTACGCATATAATTCTGATTGCTTACTGTATTGTATATGTGTGTGTATTGGTATGCAGTTTTTCTTAACTCTATGCTGTGGGGCGGGCTGTGACTCAGAGTCCATTTTCAAAAGGCAGAACCCATTAGACTTTCAATGTAGAGACTTTAGCAACAATACAGTTTAGAAGTCAGCAGAAACAATATGCTTTTAGAAAACAGGATGCTTTGAGAAGACAGAGACTCTATTAGACTCTCAGAACAGAGAGATGCTTTGGACTTCGGACTGTTGAGATTCTAAGAAAGATGCTCTGTGTTATCTATGCAGAGAAACTACTTCAAACCTATGTAACTAGATTGATATGCAAAGTACCTGTGTGCTGAATACATGAAGTTTGTGAGTAAATCAACTATGTTACTTCTAATTTTTGTCTCTTGAGAGCATGATTTAAACCAAGCTATTTTAAGGTACAGTACATGTTCTTCGGACAACTAAAATAACACTTCCGAAACTCTGCCCTCCCCCATCCTCTCGCTATATATATGTTTTTCTGCACTGGCATATCTTTGACCATAACAGTTCAAAGAGCTATCTAAGTTTATCAGTTTAACAGCTGAGAAACCTAATTGCCTTGCATGAATGGTAGTGGTTATTTACCATTAAGGAGAAGGTTGACTCAAGCAAGTTTTTAACTCTCCTCAGCGAGATGCCTGGTTTTCCCAAAAGTTATGGTGAATGCCATTTTCCAAAAGGTTATGGGGATTTCCATTCCTCAAAAAGATTATGGCACCATTTCCCAAAAACATGACAAGAAGAATAATAAGGAAGGCGAGAGACTCAGAGGTGTGCTTATAACTCTGTACGGAAGATCAGGCCACTGTCCTTTAATAACCGAGCACAGATTTCATCCAGGCGTTCATTTTGAGCCACTGTGAAATGCTCTTTCCAGTCTCCCACAATACCTGCAGTCAAGGAAAAAAAATAATGGGGAAAAAACCTCATCCTTCTGAAAAATACAGTCAGAACTCCATATTCACTTGCATTAAGGGCACAGGACCCCTCGTGAAAATGAAACAAATAATAATACAAATAGCAACCCCCCCCCCCCCCCCAAATCCCAACACCTCTCTAGGAATGTCTTGACCATCTAGAATGACTCTATTGCCAACTCTTGCTGGAAGCTATCCATGGAATCACACTGAAGGACCTAAAGATTCTCAGGCCCCATCTAAATGGCCATATGCTGCAATTTGAAACTGGATTTATGTGATCAATATAGACTCATATAATGCAGCTCAATTCAGTTAACCACAGACCACTTCCTTACAATGCACTCTGAGCCCTACCACATGCACAGTGGAGGACCTTCTTATGGAGACACCAGAGGCATTCAAAGTGGCCAGCTTCTGTACAAAGGAAATTTCATATAATGCCAAGTTTTTAACTTTGTTTGTGGTTTTTATACATTATAACTATCCTCAATTGGCGTCTGACACGATAAATACATAAATAAAAATTAAGCTGCATTATATGAAGCCCCATCTACACTGCCATACAATGCAATTCCATACTGCATTATATGGTCAGTGTAGATGGATGCTGGAGGAAATGGTTTTAATCAAATCTATCAATAATAAAATCTGCAGAAGCCAAAACCACAAATATGGAGGAACAACTGTGGTAACTGGGTTGCTATGAGTTTGATAACATTTAGTTGATTAGATTCTTAAATTATTATTTTTAACAAATTGATTACCTAAATGTCAATCTCTGATAAACTGGGCAATGTGTGTGTGCGTGTGGGGGGGGGGGGTGGGGTGTATGTAAGTGGAAAAGTTACTTTTTGGACTGTTACAGGTTATGCTGATTAGGGGATTCCAGGAGTTGTAGTCCAAAAACCCAATGCAATATTAATCAATTGATCATTGATCAATCATTTAGGTTGATTAAAAATTAACTGGCCCAAAATGTGGCCTTAGGATAGCAGTGTATGTGTATATAGTATATAGTTGTCTACACACTCACACAGACTATCATACACCTTATTTTGGAAAAATAATTTTTGAAAAAAAGTCTATAAATCTCAGAATCCTCCATCTAGCGCAGTGGTTCTCAACCTTTTTTTGACCAGGGACTACTTGACCAAGGACCACTTTGACCAGGGACCACTTTGACCAGGAGCTACTCTCCAGCATTAGTACCAAAAGAGTTACAAATCAGTTTTTGGTCAACTTTGGATTCGGTTTGGGGTGCTGATTCATAAATGTGCATTGGATAGACCACATCACCTCTTGTTTCAGATACAGAACATATGCCATGGTCAACGACAGGGAAGAAGTGGCAGGCAACACGAAAGTAGCCAAAATAAAATAAAATAAAGAGGAACAAGGCTTGTGGACCAGATTTTCATCCTCGCAGCCCACTGGTTGTCCGTGACCGAGAGGTTAAGAACCACTGATCTAGCAGCAGCATAGAAGCAAAACAGCACAACTTCCTCTTGCAGATTTCACAACAGCATGATCTACAAAAATATGCAGGGCATGCAATGCATTTGCTAATATCTTCAGGCTAAAATGATGTTAACAGCCAAAGAGCAAGATCATATTTAAAGAAATGGACCATCCTAGATATCAGCCTGCTCGACATTAGTGTCTAGAGAAGAAGTGGGGAACATTAGGCCCCTTAGATGCTGTTGGACTGCAATTCCTATTAGCCTCAGTCATCATGGAGATAATAAGGGATGATAGAAGTTGTAGTTGGATTACATGACCCCAATTCACCCTAGAGTAAGTTTAATGGGCAGTACCCCCTATCATGTCTTAACAGAAAAAATGATTTGTGCTTCATCTTATTTCTGCGAAGATGTGCTGTCTGTCTGGAGTTTATGGGAGTTGTAGTCTAAAACATCTAGAGGCTATCAGCCTACCTAGATGCCCCACTTTTGCCCTTTCCTTGCTTCTGACATATATGTGTGCATCAACGTCCTGTCTTAGGTAAAGGTTTTCCCTTGACATTAAGTCTAGTCGAGTCCAACTCTGGGGATGGTGCTCATCTCCATTTCTATGCCAAAGAGCCAGCATTGTCTGTAGACGCTTCCTAGGTCATGTGGTTGGCATGACTGCACGGAGCACCATTACCTTCCCGCTGAAGTGGTACCTATTGATCTATTCACAACTGCATGTTTTTGAACTTCTAGGTTGGCAGGAGCTGGGGCTAAGAACGGGAGCCACTGTGCTACTGCGGCCCCTCATCCTATCTTGCCAAAGCCCAAATTAGTCGCTTTCTTTCATTGCTTCTTTGCTCCTTTCCCAAAGGAGACATTTCCGAACACACACAGATAATTTCCTCCCTAAGCTATTGCTTCTAATATTCAAGTTCATTGAATAAATGATAATAGAACGGCAAAACCTGACTCCAGTCTTCTTACGTGGCTGTGATTCTAGTTCTCTCACCAGTTCTCCTACAGCTCTTCAATTACGGATGAAATGGCATTTAATCTCTATCCTTTACCTTTTCTCATGAAAGGTGAGATAGTTTGGTCCATTAAACAATCAGGGATAGTTGTGTAATTCACTGCTGGGTTTACTTTCATGCTCTCAAACTTTGTGTGCTTCACAATACGGTTCAGAATTGATTCTGGAAGCTCTACATCCATAAATTGGGCCACTTTCTTGATTTCTCGTGCGAGATCCTAGAGCAAAAGAAAGCAGAATTTCTTTTTGGTAGTTTGCTACAGAGTGTTTAAGCAGACTTGCAATTTGTCCCACATGGGATATATAGGTATATGCAAAGCCACAAAAATGAAGGACTTATGGGCCAAAAATACCACAGGGTTGTGGTAGAGGACTAGAAAATGCATAAAGAGGACATACTTTGTCAAATGTGGATAAACGAAATGGCAGGTACTGGTCTCCTGTAACTTTTTGACATTTTGTTACTATTGGAATTGCTATGTCTTTTGTTACTGTTGGAATGGCTATGTCTTTGTATGATATGTGATTTTATGTGCTGTGTTTAATAATGTTTAATGTTTTATCAGGGGAGGGTCAATTTTGATGTTTTAGACTGTTTTTTATCAATGGCATTGAATTGTTGCCAATACTGTGAACTGCCCTGAGTCCCCTTCGGGGATGAGAAGTGTGGTATACAAATACCACAAATAAATGAATAAACAAATAAATCTAAATAAATAATAATTAATCTTGTTAAGGATGTATACAGTCTTTTAAAAAAGATGCAAAAATAAATGCCAGAGTTACAAGATGTTAAGCATTCATACATTTTGGATGGACACTCGGTATAAATGAACCACTTGCCTCTTTCATGTCTTCATAAAAAAGGTAAAGAACTTGGTGATGGTCCTTAGCTTTCCACCAGTCTTTCACGTGATCAAACCAAGAGCCATAAGCAACTTCAGAGAGAGAGAAAGAGCAATAGTGGGTTTCTGGTTCATGTTCTACCTTCCCCCTCATGTTGACCTTCAGAGTTTTGAGAAGAATTGTTACAATTTGGAAAATCATGTAGCTGTCGTCCTCTTTGTGGACTTGTGCTAATACCTAGGCAGAGCCTGGCTAGGTTATTTTTCATATGGCAAACTACAATTCCCAGAATCCCTCATAGTCTGGCATGACCCCTGGGTCTGCCCTTACCATTGTCAACATTCTCTTCTTCAATGGCCAAGAACCTTGGCCCCCATCTATTGAACTAAAGGATCAACAGAGTATAATGTGGGAATCTCTAATACTGGATTCTGTTATTTTCCCAGTCCCTTTACTCACCTTTCCCAGCAATGAATGTCTCAAAAAACTCATCCCAGCTTTCTGGTTGCGGCATTGTCTTGTCCATACGGATGAAGTGGAAATAGGAAACTACAAGGTCTTTGGGATTCCTGGCCACATAAATGACCTGTAGAAATGCAGCACCCAGAAAAAGACAATCTAGAATTCTTGCTCCAAGCTTTCCACTCTCCATTATTTTACCATTCAGGAATGTTTTCTTCCCTCACATTTTCTCTACATTGTTTAATTCTAATTTGGCTATTTTCATATTTAAATATAATGCCATCAGCCTCATAGAGGTTTACTCAAGATCAGTGGTTCTCAATCTGTGGGTCCCCAGGGGTATTGGCCTACAACATCCAGAAATCCCAGTCAGTTTACTAGCTGTTGGGATTTCTGGGAATTGAAGGCCAAAGCACAAGTTGAGAATCACTGCTTAAGATAATGAAGATCCTGGCAATGAAGTTTTGTTTTCTGAAGAGTTTTTAATGCATGTCTGCTCCTCTTCTCTCTTTTTCCTCATCCTCTGTTTAACTTCATTTTTTAAATATCAGCATTGTGGGGAGAGCAAAGAAGGTTTGGAGAAAAACAAACCATCAGTGTCAGATTGCAACAGTCCATCTGCAGTGTAAAAAATAAAGCTCAAGGTGAGAAACAGTGAGATTCTAGCCTATCCTGCTGTAGCTACATGTGCTTGACTACAACTGGCAAGATAAACAGTAGCTGCCATCAAAATCACTAACTGAGCATGAATGATTAGCAAAACAGAGGAAAAAAATAGATAGGCCTGCCTTGGCAGCTACCTCTAGCATGTTGAGAAACCATTTTTTTTTTAAAAAAAAATGAAGACTTTGAGCATTAAAATAAAATCATACAGAAAGAGTAGGGTGGTGAATTTGGAATACATGTCAAATTGCTTTTCTTTTTGTGGTGCAGAAACCCATCACAAATCTTTCTAGTTTAATTCTGCCTTTGGAGCATACAACTACACTCAGGATACCTTCCCATTTTCAGCAAATAGGTGATGGTTTCTACTAATCACTGTATTGTTATCAAACTGACTTAATAATTTGCTCACCATATTTCATATTTGCAAACAGAATATTCCCAAGCAGAACAACCAAGAAACAAAACCCTTGGATAAAATCAGTTTTCCTTTTGTTAAATAGTTTAGATAGGTAACTGGAAAAGTCCCACATTAGTATCTTATACTTTATTCAACAGTGCTCCATTTTTTTCTCACCTTGCAGTTTTGTTCCCAGAAAGATGGTGGCAGGAGATGAACAGGGAGGTGGCTTTTGAGTATGCGCGGAGAGGGCAGTGCTTCCGCTTGTTCAATACCTGTGATGCCAGATGGAAATTTTCAGGTTCCTGACAAGAAACCTTTAACAGTCATCCTGAAAGATCATTTCTCTTTGCTCACCTGAGGGAAAAGGTTTTAGCTCACATAACTCTATGTAAGGTATCCGTTCATAGATAGGGGCCCGAGCACATTTCTCTGTGTCTCCTCCATGCCGGATCATATCAACAATTTCTTGCATCCATGTGGTCCCTGCAGAAGTACAGATGTAAGAAGTACAGATGTAGAGAGAAGAGGCATGGAGATCCTATAATTCATCTAATGGCCCTAATGTCAAGCTCTACATCTCCACCCCTCTTGGTATCTCTCCATAGACTTTCGTCCTTCCATCTCCTCTGGCCACATTTACCTGCTTTTGGATAAGTGCAAATCAGAAGATCATCAGGTTTAGCTTTGAAGTTCCATATTGTCTCCCATTGTTCCACTGTGTCATCAAATAAAGGAACCCCTTCAAGATCTACTAGTTGCACAATTCTGATAGCGCTAGAATCCAAATTTTCCATATTTGATTGGAGATCAGTCATCTGGTAGGGTATGAAAATACTGATAACAATTCATTGTTCCACTTAACAGTCAATATCTTATTAGTAACTTGTAAGTGTATATATGGCAGTTTCTGCATGCATAAGTCTCATTTTGGATGCAAAAGAGAAGAGTATTGTCCCTTCCACAAGGCTCTCACATTTGTCCATTGGGCTGATGGTTCTTACTAGATCAGCGTTTCTCAACCTGGGGGTCGAAACTCCTGGAGGGGGTCACGAGGGGGTGTCAGAGGGGTCACCAAAGACCATAGGAAAACACAGTATTTTCTTTTGTTCATGGGGGTTCTGTGTGGGAAGTTTGGCTCAATTCTATCTTTGGTGGGATTCAGAATGCTCTTTGATTGTAGGTGAACTATTTATTTATTTCCTGCATTTATAACCCGCCCTTTTCACCCCCGAAGGGGGACTCAAGGTGGCCTCACAGCAAGCATGATCTGTGCTTTCACATAAACATTCAACAAATACAATTAAAACATTAAAAACTGTTAATTAAAAACAATTAATTAAACTATGAATCCCAGCAACTACAACTCCCAAATGTCAAGATCTATTGTCCTCAAACTCCACCAGTGTTCACATTTGGCCATATTAAGTATTTGTGCCAAGTTTGGTCTAGATCTATCATTGTTTGAATCCACAATGCTCTCTAGATATAGGTGAACTACAACTCCTAACCCCAATCCCACCAGTATTCAAATTTGGGTGAATGGGGCATTTGTGTCAAATTTGGTCTAGCGAATGAAAATACATCCTGCATATCAGATATTTACATAATGATTCATAAGAGTAGCAAAATTAGAGTTACGAAGTAGCAATGAAAATTATTGTATGGTTGAGGGTCACCAGAACATGAGGAACTATATTAAGGGGTCGCAGCATTAGGAAGATTGAGAACCACTGTAGTGGAGAGAAGTAGAAAGAGGGGGAAGCATTTCAGAGTTTGAAAATACCTGTCCTCAGTACCTGAGACTAGCTACTTTTCTATGTTCTGAATTCCCTCCCCTCCATTCCCTCCCAGTAAATAACAACCTGTTACACATTGACTTGGTAGGTGCTGGATAGTAGGACAAGATGGGACTGCAGCTTGGAACTATGCACACAGGTGGGATGCCAACCCCTGCCTAAAAGCTGCCATGGCTCCTGTCCCAGACCTTTGAGTGTCACCTAGGAACACTATAATTGAAGGATGTGTCCACTTACCAGCCTGTTACTTCCTACTCAGGATCTCTAATGTCCCTTTCTTGCTGTTGCCTCTGTGTGCCTTCTCTTTCTCCACCTCTCAGCCCTTTGCATTCCTTCCTGAACTTTTGTTCATTTTCCAAAATGGGTGTGCTGATGACAGAGGAAGGGGTGTGTTCTTATATAATTCTTGTATGCTAAAGTTCAATAACTTTTATCAGAACTATGCCCTGGGCTTCTTGGAACAGTGCCTGGACAGTTATTTTTGATGAATATCCTGACACCCATGACTGAGTGCTGGGTAGCATGACCTGTATGGGATGGTTCCAGCATTGTCATTATTGACATTCCTTTGTAGAACTGGCTTTCTTCACTTTGCATGCAGAGAACCCAAGCGATCTCCCTGGGAAAAGCTCACTTTTGTCCCACAATAATCCAGGATTCCAAAGGCAGGGTTCTTGTTTGATGACAAAGGTCAGATTGATCCTTTCAGATTGGCAAACTCCGTAACACCATTTATTGCTGAGGTACAGGCATTCAATACAAGATACAGTATAGCCTTGCTGAATAAGATTAACACCCAACTGGAATAAATCCAGATGAGGTATTTGTCTTGTTATTGTACATTCTCTAACACAGAATTGTACTGGGAGTCCAGCCAATAATGCTCTCCATTTGAAACTGGCCTGTTCTTTCTTGACGCTGCTTGTCCTTTTTGATGCTTTTCATTTAAGAAATAGTTAAGGATCAGAATTCTTTTCATTTCATAATTCAAGTGTAAATACACTTTCACATGTCATTTTAGATTTATTTATTTATTTTGCATAGATTGGTATTATTTTCCTCCCTTTGCAATCTCTGTTTTTGGCATATTTTCAGTATTTTCCAGCATTTGGACAATGGCAAGGGAATCAAATGAAACCAAACTGCTAGATTCTTTAGAATGTGTCTTTTAGAAGTGTTTTTGGACTGAATTTTCAGCTGAAAATATTCAGACGAAGGCAATTACAGGGGATTTTGAGATTATTTCAGGGACAACATGATTGCCCCAAACATCATTTATCTTATCCCCGACTTAACTGCCATGCCTGTATGCTATGAAATCATGAGAGTTATAGATTTCTAGCTTTCTATACCAAAGAGTGCTGGCACCTTACCAAATTATATATTTATTTATTTATTTGCTGTATTTGTATACCATCCCTCTGAGCCTTCCGGCGACTCGAGGCGGTTTACAAGGCAAAATTCAATGCCACAAAAGTACAAGTACATTTTTAAAATGTTAACATCAATAAAATCATAACAACAGCAATCTACATAAATAAAAATGTAATGTTTGTTTGTGGTATTCACAGAACTCAAAAACCCCTGGATGAATTGGCACCAAATTTGGACACAAGACACCTAACAACCCAATGTATGTCCTTCACTCAAAAAAACTGATTTTGTCATTTGGGAGTTGAAGCTGCTGGGATTTATAGTTCACCTACAATCAAAGAGCATTCTGAACCCCACCGACAATAGAATTGAACCAAACTTGGCACACAGTTCTCTCATGACCACCAGAAAATACTGGAAGGGTTTGGTGGGCAGTGTCCTTTGGTTTTGGAGTTGTAGTTCACCTACATCCAGAGATCACTGTGGACTCAACCAATGATGGATCTGGACCAAACTCTCCACGAATACTCAATCTGCCCGAATGTGAACACTGGTGGGGTTTGGGGAAAATAGAATCTTGACATTTGGGAGTTGTAGTTGCTGGGATTTATAGTTTATCTACAATCACAGAGCATTCTGAACCCCACCAATGATAGAATTGGGTCAAACCTCCCACACAGAACCCCCATGTGGGCCACAGCAATGTGTGGCAGGGGACGGCTAGTAAAACATAAGTCAATAAATCCTCATTAAAACACTGTCCAGTCCCATCGTATAGTTGTTCCATTTTCCTATGTCTGTTACTCAATATTTGCATATGCTTGCTCGAACAGCCATTCGTTGAGTTTTTCTGAAATGTTAGGATAACAACTACTTTGATTCCATAACAGGGATCCATGGCAGTTAAAATGATATCAAACTGCATTAATTGTATGACGTAGATGTACCTTTATGGTGTGTAGTGCTGTTTGTAAATCTGCTACAGGCAGCAATGCAGTATACAAAATATCCTCCAGATATTATTGGACTTCATTACCTGGCAGCCCTCACTATTGGCTAAGGCTGATGGGTGTTGCAGTCCAGTGACATTGAGATGGCCACAGGTTACCCACCCATGCCATAGGACACTGGGAATTGTTGTTGAAAATGACAGCTTTGGAAGCAAATCCTAAAGAAGTTATTTTTATCCAGCTATGTACAGCCATTGCATTATTGCCTCTGTGAATTAATGGATAGAACATTGGTGTGGGATAATGGACAATGGTGGCTGCCACCTTTCCCTTGTTTTTGAATATGATGTTCTTCAGGAAGAGACAAAGTTCACAGCTACAAGGGATACAGGTAGTTTATATGGGTGAGTGGAAACTAATTTGGAAGCTAGGTGGAAGGATTTGGGAATATTGGGCATCTCTCTTTCTCTCTCTCTGAGGAGTTCATGCAGAATGCTAGAGGTTTAAATACCCTAAAGCAGGCATCCTCAAATTGTGGCCCTCCAGCTGTTTGGACCTCCAACTCCCAGAAGTCCTAACCCAGTGGTTCTCAACCTGGCGTCCCCAGATGTTTTGGGCCTACATCTCCCAGAAATCCCAGCCAGTTTCCAGCTGTTAGGATTTCTGGGAATTGAAGGCTAAAACATCTGGGGACCCCAGGTTGAGAACCACTGTCCTAACCAGCTTATTTAATTGTCAGGAATTCTGGGAGTTGAATGCCCAAACAGCTGGAGGGCCACAGTTTGAGGATGCCTACCCTAAAGGCACCAGATTCTGTCTGCTTCTGGAATTTAAACAGGCCCAGTTAGTACTTGGATGAAGGAGAATGAAATATTATGTTTATTTATTTATTTATTTATTTATTTATTTATTTATTTATTTATATGCCATATTTGAATAACACCTTTCTCAGCCTGGAGGTGACCCAAGGCAGTTCACAATTGGCAACAATTCGATGCCTCAACAATTATAAAACATTTAAACAATCATAAAATACTATTAAAACATAAAAACATTATCATGAGCATCTCCTTGCCAAAGTCATTTTCCAATTGCATCGTCAAGTCATTCCATGATTTCATATAATTATGATGCATTAGCGAAAGCTTGCTCAAAAAAACTGGTTTTAAACTTTTTTCAGAATGTCAGAAGGGAGGGGGCTGATCTTATATCCCTAGGCAGGGTGTTCCACAGCCGAGGGGCCACTACTTAGAAGGCCCTGTCTCTCGTCCCTGCCAAACGCATATGCAAAGGAGGTGGGACTAAGAGAAGGCCTCCTAGAAGATCTAAGTCCTAGATGGTTCGTAAGGAGATATATGTTTGGATAGGTAAACTGGGCCGAAACCGTTGTAGGTTAACATTCAGAGGAAAACAATGTTAAGCCGTCTCTGACTGTTCCTTCCCTAGAAAGACACTAGGAAGTTAATGAAGTCACCATAAGTCAACAGGTGCCTTGAAGGCATATATATACACATACACAGTGGCATGGCTGTTTACAAGGTGCAATATGTGTCTACATCCGCTTCATCAACATCGTAGGCGATTGCTTATGACTGAGTACGATTGTCTTCCAGAAGTAGAGTCTTGGTGCTGGGTCCATAAGTGATGGCAGAGACCTGTTCTGGATCTGCATAGTCTGTCACAATGAGGACAATGAAGACTATGTAGGAGTTGCTTGTACAGTCAGCCCTCCATATTTGTAAATTTGACTTTTGCAGATTAGATCGTTTGCGGATTTGATTAATATGGTCTCTCTAGGAATCTCTAGGTCTTCCAGTGCGATTCTACGGTCAACTTTTGCCTGAAATTGGCTATAAATGTGTGCTGGAAAACCAACAAATTCTTAGAAAGGAGTTCTCTCAGGTAAAAAAAAGTGTTTTTTAATTCTTGGTTTTTCCACTTTTGCAGAGGTCCTGTGCCTCTAATCCAAGTAAATGATCAAGGGTTTGTGTGCGTGTGTGTGTGTTTGTGTGATTATAGTGTTGCAACCTGCAAGGTTCCAGTCCTGCCCAATAGTCAGTCACCATTCAAAGGCCTAACTCAGTTTTTTTGGTGCTATTTCCCTGCATTCAATATGCTTGGGTGAATGTTGTGTATAAATCACTTATTTTCTTTTATTGCACTAGAAATCATCAGTCACACTGGTCTGAAGAAAAGTTTTGGCAAAAGAGACAGATGATGATGATGATGATGATGATGATGATGATGATGATGATGATGGTGATTCCACATTCTTCTCTTAAACGAGACTCAAAGCGCCTCATAACACGCACGCACACAAACAATACAAATTACAATTTGAAACCTACAACATGTGAACATTAAAATAGAATTAAACATAGGATTGTTTTTAAAAAGTAAAGCCATTTAAAACCATTAAAATCTATAAAAATAATTAAGTTAAGTGCTTAGATTTGTGTGCGGAAGCTCAGATCAGCTCTTCTTAATTTCTGGGCATAGATATCATCTAGCCATTCACTTTGGGCCACTGTGAAATGCTCCTTCCAATCTCCTACAGTTCCTGCAAATGGGGAAAACAATGGAAGTGAGTTCTCTTTTCTTGCTATTTTAACAGAAATAGTCACAATGCTAGCTTGCCTTCCTCATGTGAAAAATTCCACTGTTGCCTTGCAGAGGGTTCTGAAACCACATTCTACACAAGGGACACTCTGGGCCACATTTTTACTCTACGTTTGCAAAGAGTGGCTATTTCACATGGAAACATTCTTCATCAGCAAGCAGCCACACCATTGTTGTTTTACTGCTTCTCATTAGTGGCACTTGCTATGTGCAGTCACGTATTGGGCCTGTGGGGATGTCTGTTAACAGGACATGCTATCTGAATGCCCAACGGGACCCCGGGGTGCCTTGGCTGAGAGGCCCTATAGATTTCCCTACACAAAGTTCTGGAGAGGCTTAAGATAAGTCCAACAAAGTTCTTTTTTTAGGATAAAATCTTCAAACACGGAATAAACACTCTAAAACTTTGGAAAATTGGTAACTTCTTCAATCTGCCGACGAGGGACAGGCAACTGCTTAATAAACTGATCCTTTCTTCTTTAAGGGAAATCCTTTGACCCCTCCCTGGGCAATCTCTTTACTTTGTTGGCGTGGGCCCTACTCCTGGTTCCAATCTGCGTTATGGGTGACCCGAGTAGACCGTACCAGGCAAAGTGTAGATTTTCCAAGTTGAAGGAAGTCCTTTATTTTCCAGTTATTGGGGGGGGGAGGGGCTTCACTTTCACCCTCCTTACTCGGCACTCAGCTGCAGGCCCTGCAAGGCCCGGGTGCATAGGCCCAAAGCCTGCACCCATAGGCCCATAGGCCCAAAATGTCAGGGTGTCTGCAGCCAAGTGCCGAGTAAGGAGTGCTCAGCTGCAGACCCGGCGAGGCCCAGGTGTGCTTTGGCCTATGGGTGCAGACTTTTGGCCTGTGCGCCTGGGCCTCACAGGGCCTACAGTCGAACACCAAATAAGGAGCACTCCTTATTCAGTGCTTGGCTGCAGGCCCTGACACCTTGGCCCAACTCGTGCGGCAGTCAATCCGAAAAGCAGACAAGGAGCCGGTACCTGCTCTTGCCTACCTTTTGTATCAAGTTTATTTTTGTTCCAGGAGGGGTCATTTGAATGAACAGAACGAAATGGAAACGGAAACACGAATAAAATGGATGAGACAAATTTCAGGCCCATGACTATTGATTAGGTTGTGAACTTAACCGTTCATGATCTGTCCTCCGATGGTCAGTGATCCATTATCCCCAATACTATCTGTTCTGAACTGGGACACTTGTTTGTTATTCCTTTTAATCATTACTGTCATAACCATCCAAAGTTTCTTTGTAATTCATGATACTTCGCACATTTTCATATAACAAAAGCCTTATCCACACCCTCCAACATTTCATGGATAAAAACAGAGACAAATGTGGCTAAACAACATTGGGACATGGACAAGATGGTAAAAGTTATTAATGAGGAAAAAACACAAGACAGGAAAGATTGCAACCATTTGTTTTTGATCCTGGGAAGAGCAAGATTTCTCTCCCTCCTATCTGCTCCTCTCCACTCATTGTTTTAACTAGGAACAAACTATTTTCATGCTTTGAATTCAGCTTATAGCAGCTCAAGAGGAAAAGTGGGAGAAAGAGCAAGAAACTGGACCATTTTAAAAGTTGCTGAAAAAGTGGGAAATAGAGGATTGATCAGGACTTTTCCTGCCAAACTGGATTAATTGGAAATTTCCTGCAAAGATGAAGGATATGCTTATTGGATGTGGCTTGATCCTATCCTCCTGCTTTATATGAGCACACACCTTTTCTCAAGAATGGTGACACTCGTTGGTCTAAGATAGAGGAAGGCATAGTACTGTAGTTCGTCATTGGGTTTTCTTTCATGCTCTCAAAGGTTGTCTGATGCACAATCTGTTTTAGAACCGGTTCTGAAAGCTTTATGTCCAAGAATTGGGCTACTTTCTGGATTTCCCGAGCCGGGTCCTAGAAAGAGAAACAACATCTTTGATGAGAAGTGTGTTAAATCAGGTCCTGGGCATCCAGTTGTACTTAGTGAAGGATAGTACCAGACTCTGAAATCTAGCATGAAGAGTCTGTTTTCCCATTTGTCTTCTCACTATTGTCAAAATATGATTGGTTTAAGAAGTCGGCTGCATTAAGTCTGGTGGATTTTACTATATAAGAGCTTGCAGACATGCTCCATATAAATCATTGGTAGATGTCATTCATGTCTGGTTGGTCAGTTGGTTTGGATGCATAGGTTTTGTGATGGAGTATAATAATAGAGAGTTAGCTTCTTTGATTGTAAATGAGTGAATCTAGAGGGGAAGCCTAACATTATCTAACTTTCTCACACTGAATATGTATCCAAGGAGGGAGGATATAATTGAGGGATATGTCTGTGTGATTTTCCCCAAACAAGGATGTCCCCACTATTTGACATATATCTGATTCTGACTTCAGTAGGCAGAGGAATTTCCATCTTCCCTTATAATATCTCTCAGTAGCTTCTAAGAATATATGAACAAACCTGATGACCAGACCAATCTAATTCAGCGCCTTATTCTCCAGCCAGTAACCTTTTCAACAGGTCTTCTTGTTCAGGGGTCTAGAAAAATATCATTTTGGGACTGAAACTCCCAGCATCCGCTAACCAGAATACCTATTGGCCAGGGAACTTGAGACATTTGGGGAGATTTCAGTCTAAGATCTTAACCTTTTCAAGTAGGCATGTTAGAATTATATATGTTAAGGCAATTGCATTTGAAAAACCCCTTTGCTTCTCGTCCTTGAAGTGATATGCCCTCAAGGCTGGTGTTGCATAATGTAGTTTCAGGACACAAGCTGGGAATTTACACGAATTAAAAAATCTCATTCCCCTTTGGAGTAAAATACATTTTACGTATTGTTGAAGGCTTTCATGACTGGAGTCACTGGGTTGTTGTAGGTTTTTTGGTCTGTATGGCTATGCTCTAGAAGCATTTTCTCCTGACGTTTCTCCTGCATCTGTGGCAGGCATCCTCAGAGGTTGTGAGGTCCTCTGAGGATGCTGTACTTTCCTCCTTTTCAGGGAAAGTACAACATTTCTGAAAGGGTTTGCAAGCAAGAGGACTGCAACACTTACTTCTTTGATATCTTCATAGAAAAGATACAGAATTGGATGATTTTTCTTAGCCTCCCACCAGCCACGAACATGATCAAACCAGCAGCCATAAGCAACTGTAAATAAACACAATATAAGCAAACATAAAGGCATCAGATCTGCATCATTTCCCCAAGCTGTAATTGTTTGTGTGAAGAATGTTGGAAAACAATTCTGTTTTAGTCTATTAATTTCAGCTTCTACCCACATAGCTCGTTTCCTTGAGATTAGGACAATTAGCAGCGGTAGAGGGTGGGGTGGGGGGCAAGGAAGCAATATTACTATATTGGATTACGGATGAATGGAATCATGCACATTATATGTTTTAATCTGTTATTGTTTAACTGTTTAAATGGTTTTTAGTATATGGGATAGATTTTATGACTATGTTTTAAGTGGCATTGAATCTTGACGGAGTTGTAAGCTGCCTTGGGAACCCCTTCGGGGGTGAGAAAGGTGGGGTATAAATGAAGCAAATAAATAAATAAATATCCCACACTCAGACCAAACGTTGCTTCAAACACACTTCAGACTGCATCCCGAATAACTTAAAGCCCCAATAAATAATGAGTATTTTGTATCTTCAGTCCACTTGACATAGTTATTGCTGCCCTCGCCTCTAGTTGTCCTAACAGGTGTAAGCAAGGCATTTCTTCTCTCCCTGGATGCATTTTACGAGGTTTTTAGCCTTCTCTACCAAATAGTGCTGCTGCCTAACCAGACTATGGCTCCCAGAATACCATAGCATTGCATCATGGTAGGGAATGCGGTGTCAAATTGCATCAATTATACAGTATATGGGCAAACTTTGGCCCATATACTGTATAATTGGTGTCCAGGTATTTTGGACTTCAGCTCTCACAATTCATAAAAGCCAGTAGGTGTTAGGAATTGTGGGAGTTGAAGTCCAAAATGCTTGGAAGGCCAAAGTTTGTCCATGTCTGGTATAGATGAACTCTTTGTTACCACAAGATTTTTTTTAACCCCAAACCATTACCAAAACATTCACCCAGAAATATTGCATTCATCTCCCACAGACAAATATCTGTAAAAAATATTTTCTCATTGTAATAATAACAATAATAATAATAATAATCTATATTTATAGTTTGCCCCTGTAGGGACTCAGGGTAGTTTCCAACAAATATGGCAAATATTCAGTGCCAAAAGGAAAACCATACAATTTACAACAAGACAAGGCACATTAGACGATACAGAATAACCAACTATAACTTAATAAACAAAATAGCAACAAAAATAAAATAAAATACAAAAACCTGATAAATCTCTCTCTCTTATATTATTGTATTGTATTGTATTGTATTGTATTGTATTGTATTGTATTGTATTATATTATATTATATTATATTATATTATATTATATTATATTAAATATATATTGTCTCTTTAGCTTCTCAACTTACCTTTTCCAGCAACAAAGTTTTTCAGAAAATCATCCCAGTGTCCTGGCTCTGGCAACAATAGGTTCATGCGATGGAAGTGGAAGAAGGAGACAGCGTTGTCTTTGATGTTCCTGGCTACATAAATTATCTATGGAAATATAATAAAACCAAGAAGATAGAATCCAGCCAGGCAAAATGCAAAAGGTGTTATCCTGGTGTTTTGGAGTACAGCTCTACATAGCCAATACCAACCTCAAAATGGATTCGGATGAAGGGGGTTATTCTTCAGAAATAATGCAGTTTGATACCACATTAACAGCCATGGTTCAGTCTTATGGGATCATGAGAGCTGTAGGCTTGTGAAGCACTAGCACTCTGGCTGGTTAAATAATTTTTAAAAAACGACAACTCCTATAATTTCAACTGCATTACTTCTATAGCACAGATGCACCCTAAACAACCTTCAGCCTTTTAATGCACTCCTGGTTATGAAATGTATTGTTTTATACACAGAGGCAGAGAGAGAAACCAACATGTACCTTTGGACTTGTTATGCTAGTGGGTAAAAGATACAATGGCGATATAAATATAGAAATGGGCAACAATATAGCAGGAACCCAACTGACAGTAATATGGAAAGTGGCAGAAGGTTTAACACTACACAATTTTAGCACTATAATCCTACTTGTAGTCCAATGCTCAAACCACCACACCACACTGGCTCCCTTTCAATATAACTTCATAGTTTTTCAGGTTTGGAAATTGAACCTTACTCTAGAGGTGCATCTACATTGTAGAATTAATGTAGTTTGACACCACTTTAACTGCTGTGGCTTAATGCTATGGAACCAGGCCCCTAGCCAGGATTTTGATTCGGGGGGGGGGGGCTGAGTTTGTTGGGGGGGGGGGGCTGAGTCTGAGTGAAAGAGGGGCTACCCTAGCAAACCTTTTGTATCGTTACCCCAATACCCCCATGCATATGGGATATATTGATAGTGATCAGATCATGATATGAATAAACATAGCAGTTTAAATAATACACCAGTAAGGCCTTCTTGCGGACCACCATCAGAATTTCGGGGGGGGGGGCTGAAGCCCCCCCCCCCCCCCCCGGCTACATGTCTGTATGGAACCTTGGGAATTGTAGTTTCACAAGGTCTTTCCTGCCTTCTTTGCTGGTGCCTTGTCAAACAACATAGAATCAGAGTTGGAAGAGATCACATGGGCCATCCAGTCCAATGCCACTACCATGCAGGAATGCACAAATCAAAGCATCCAGGCTTTCCCCCTGCACTAACCTCCCTTTTTGACACTCCTCCTGACCTTGCATTTCTGTTCCCAGAAGGAAGAGGGCAGGAGCTGGACTGGGAAGTGAGTCTTCAACGTCCGTGGAGAAGGCATTCCTTCTGCTTCTTCCAAGCCTGCGAAATCAGGAAGGATTTTCAGCATCATGCTGAGTTTCATCTGATTTATTTATTTATTTCCTATATTTATAGCCCACCCTTGTGAGGCTCAGGGAGGCCTCACAACAAGCACCATACGGTGCCATCACCATCATAAAACAATCAACAAATATATTAAAACAATTAAGACAATTGATTAAATACGCCAGTTAAAACCAAATCCAAGTCTGGGTCAATTCATTGTCACGAGTTGCCTAAGTCTTCTTTCCACGTTGCTGCTCTTCACTGGTCGAAAGCCTGGTCCCATAATCACGTCTTAATTTTCCTTCTAAAAGACAGGAGGGAAGTGGCCAGTCTGCTGTCCCTAGGGAGGGAGTTCCACAGAAGGGGGGGCACTGCTGTGAAGGCCCTGTCCTTCATCCCCACCAATCACGTTTGCGATGGTGGTGGGATCGAGAGCAGGGCCTTTCCAGATGATCTTAAACTTCGTGACAGTTCATAACAGGAAATATGGTCGGACAGGTTGTCTGGGCCAGAACCATTTAGGGCTGATAAACAAACATCGCTTTCTTCCCTCTACAGGCAGTCCCTAAGTTATAAACATCTGACTTACAAACGACTCGTATTTAAGAACAGGGGTGAGACAACAGAAAGTGAGAGAAATCTACTCTTAGGAAGAGAAATTCACTCCTAAAAGAGTTATCACGGGGGAAAGGTGTCTCCACTGAAGCTTTATCACAATTCCTTGTTTCTACAACAAGCCATTTTTTTTTCAAAATCAGAAAGTGCAGTGAAATCGTCTGAGCAGTGGCACAAACAATAAAACAAACACCACAGACATATTAACCCTCCCTATGCTATCCAAAACTCTCTCTCTCTCTCTCTCTCTCTCTCTCTCTCTGTCTATCTCTGTGTGTGTGTGTGGAGTTACACTTAAAAATGTACCTGTTCCAACTTACATACAAATTCAACTTAAGAACATTCCTACAGAACCTATCTTGTTTGTAACTTTGGGACTGTCTGTATTTCCTAAAGCAGAACCCCCTTTTCACCTGAGCGCAGGGGTTTGGGGGGGAACATTTCCAGGTAGGGACTTCGTTGGTACACAGGAGCCCGAGAGCATTTCTGGACATCACCTCTCTGCTGGACCATGTCCACAATTTCTTGGATCCAAGTGGTCCCTGGCAGAAAAAAGAGTGGGGAATTGTATGAAGAATCCAACCTTTAGCCAGTAGTCCTGAATATCGCAACTCCACCAATCACTCCCCAGAGCTCTGCAAATGCCCCATATTTCTCTATCCCAATATGTTTACCTGCTTTAGGATAGGTGCAGAGAAGAAGGTCATCTGGCTGTGCTTGGAATTCTTTTATTTTAGCCCAGTTTTCTACAGTGTCAATAAGCAAAGGGACACCCTCCAACTCCACTGGCTCTAAGCGCTTGATGAATGTGGGGTCCACACTGTCTGGCATGGAGGCAGGATCCTTCTCCTGGTAGTTATGGAGAAAATATCATGTGAATGAATAGTGCTCACCTTGAATTCACGTACCTGTCTTATTCCCTCCAGCAACAAGTTTGGGACAGTGAATACCATCTTTTATCTACCGGTCAGCTTTACTCCAACTGTAGACTATCAACCTTTGTTTTTTGATTCTACCACCTGCTTCTCAATTATATGTATAAAGCCTGGGATTGTGTTAGGGTGTGTCCATGTAGAGAGCAGGAAGTGTATATGTGTTTCTGACTAATTTCTCATATGGGCACCCAGCCAGAATGTTCAGTGAATTGAGTTTTCCCATTGGATTAAACCCGTGGTTCTCAACCTGTGGGTCCTCGGATGTTTTGACCTTCAACTCCCAGAAATCCTAACAGCTGGTAAATTGGATGGGATTTCTGGGAGCTGTAGGCCAAAACACCTGGGAAGCCATAGGTTGAGAACCACTGGATTAAACCTGTATTTTGTGTAGTGATGGTAGACACTGATTATCTAGATCCAGCACAGTCTGGCTTTAGGCCGGGACATGGTACCGAAACAGCCTTGGTCACCTTAGTAGATGATCTTCGCCAGGAACTAGACAGGGGGAGTGTGTCCCTGTTGGTTGTGCTGGACCTCTCAGCGGGCTTCGATACCATCGATCATGGTATCCTTTTGGAACTCCTCGGGGACATGGGACTTGGTGGTACTGTTCTGCAGTGGCTCGGGTTCTTCCTTGAGGGACAGTCTCAGAAGGTGTTGCTGGGGGGGGGCACCTGCTCATCCTCACAACCATTGACTTGTGGGGTCTCGCAGGGGTCAATACTGTCCCCAATGTTTAACATTTACATGAAGCCGCTGGGAGAGATCATTCGGAGTTTTGGGGTCAGATGTCATCTGTATGCAGATGATGTTCAGCTCTATCACTTCTTCTCACCTGTCACTAAGAGGCTGTGAAGGTCCTGAACCGGTGCTTGGCTGCTGTGTCGGTCTGGTTGAGGGTGAACAGATTGAAACTAAATCCAGACAAGACAGAGGTACACCTGATCAGTTGAAAGGCCGAACAGGGGATAGGGTTACAGCCTGTGTTAGACGGGGTTACACTCTCCCTGAAGATGCAGGTTTGCAGCTTGGGTGTGATCCTGGACTCATCGCTTATCTCCTGGCTCTCTTCACACAGCTACTGTATGTTCCCAGGAGTAAATGGTGGAGCAGAGATTCAGGACCCTTCCACACAGCCATATAAGACAGAATATGGCTGGAAACTAAGCATTATAGTGCCAATTTTGAAGAAAGGCATTAAAGCCGACCCTAGGAATTATCGCCCAATCAGCCTTATTGACATAGCAGCAAAGATCTATGTGAGATACCTACTGGGCAAAGTAGAAGAATGGGCTGAAAATAATTTGATAATAAAAGAAGAACAAGCAGGCTTTAGGCAAGGCTACTCCACTATAGACAATGCCTTTGTTCTTCAGCATGTAATTGACAAATAGTCATCAATGAACAGAAGTTTATATGTTGCTTTTATAGACCTGTCCGATGCTTTTGACTCTATAAACTGAGGGTTACTCTGGAGGAAATTTTCAAAGTCCAACATAGATAAAAGACTCCTGGCGCTTATGATTGCTCTATATGATGACTCCTCAGTTAAAGTGAGATTAGATAACAGTGGGGCGGCCTCCAATGGAATACCTACAACTAGGGGTGTGAGACAGGGATGTTTGTTGGCTCTGTTCTGTTTTAATTTTTATATTAATGATATTGTGGAATATTTGAATATGAAAGAATGTCACAGTTCAAAGATTATGGATAGGGAGACAAATATTTTGATATACACAGATGACATAGTATTGTTATCCACTACTCCAGTCGGGTTAAGGAGGTCCCTGCAAAAACTTAGCAAATATTGTACTGAAAATGCCCCCACTATAAATAAAGAAAACTGCAAAATAATGGTTTCTGGTAAGAAAGCTAAGGCTTCCAACTGGCACCTTGACGGGCACAAAGTGGAGCAAGTGAGGACATTTAAATACTTAGGTCTTTATTTTGCGGCATCTGGGGCATGGACCCAACATCTAAAATTAAGCATTGCAAAAGCTGATAATGCTGCGCAGGCAATTCATAAATTATGCAACCACAATTACCCGGGTTCCTTGCGCCCCTTTCTGAAGATTCTTAAGGCAAAGGTGTTCCCCATCGATTTGTATGGAGCTGAAATATGGGGTGAGCAAGACCCTTTATTGGTAGAGAGATTCCAACTATGCCACCTGAAAATTGGCTTAGTTGTGGAGAGATCATCCGTGTCAGCTGCAGTGAGAGAGATGGGAGTACCCCCAATTTCCACTGTAATCCTGAAGAGGCAGATCAATTGGTGGTACAAAATAAGACAAATGCAACCACACAGACTCCCAGCCATATGCCTTCTAGAACAAGAAAACCACAAAGAGTGGTCATCTTGGCTTAGCAGATTTGGTCACACAGTCAGTAGGTTAGGTTTTGCCCCCCACGAGTTAATAAATTTGGGGCAAACATATGCTCAATTGTATATCAAAGAGCTCTTGACATTGCTGCACAAAAATGATCTAATGATCATAGCGCAAGCTAGAGCCACTCCATAAGGTAAAGGTAAAGGTAGTCCCCTGACATTAAGTCCAGTCATGTCTGACTCTGGGGTGTGGTGCTCATCTCCATTTCTAAGCCGAAGAGTCAGCGTTGTCTGTAGACACCTCCAAGGTCATGTGGCCGGCATGACTGCACTCCATACCTGGCCACTCCATACCTGGCCAAATTTAAATGTAACGTGGGCATGGAACCTTTCCTCTCCACTATATATTAGAAAACTTTTTACCTGGGCTAGATTTGAGCAGCTCGACATTAAGTCTAAGTTAGGACGACATCAGAATATTCCCTACACGAGGAGAACCTGTGGGTGTCGTGAGGTAGATGCAGAAGTGGAGGACTCAGAACATTTTTCTTAAAATGTCCCTCTTACAACAGGATCCGGTCTTACTACCTAGAGCCTCTGCTGGAGAACCATACTTATTCAGAGAATAAGGAGAAACTGCACATCCTCCTACAGGGTTCAGACAAAAACTCTATTTTAAAATTGACCCTTTTTACTCAAAAAGCGCTGGCCATCCACGAGAAGATGGAAGCAGAGAGAGGTGACCTTGCTGCCATCAACAAAATTCAAACTTAAAAACGTAATATGGACATGCCACTAGTTTTACCTACCCGCACCCCTGCCCAAACCCTACTTTAAGGAATTAATCAATTTTTAATCTTTTAATCTTGTAGTTGCACAATCATCTAGGAGTAGGTTGACAGGCCAGTAGGCCAGGATGCCTTGTATTCATATATGGTTTTACTGTATGTACGGGCAAGTGTGTATGTTTTGTATGTTTTGCATGTTTTGATATGGTCAAAATTGACTAATCAATAAAGAATTGTTGTTGTTGTTGTTGTTAAGACAGAATATCAAGGCATATAATCCCCAATATCTGCGTTGAGTCCACACTGCCATATAATCCAGTTCAATATGATTTTTACACAACTGTGTGTAAGGGGCCTCAGCCACTGAATGACTTAAGACAGTGGTCCTACTGACATGCTAGAGTTTTTGGGGTGGTAATATGAGAGCCAATATGCACCAATATTGGCCAAGAAGAAACTAATGAACAAAAACTCACAAGGTAGATATGAGCCACCATAGTTTGAGGTTGAAAACAGCATTTTTGAACAACGTTTTTTTTTCAATAGAGAGATTGCTGATATGTTCTACTCTAATCATATCCTTTCTTCTGTTGGAAGCAAGAATTAAACATTCTTGGCTGAGTTATGTTTCACATACATTGTCACATGTATTGTATTTTATTGTTCATTTCTGTCAAAAACATATTTCAGTTTTGCTCATGGTTCCAAGGCTTCAAATGAAATCAACATTCCAGGTGACTTTGAGTGGAACGTCTGGATGGTCAACACAGAAGTGGGATTATAGTTGAGTGCGAAAGATCAGTCCGCTGTCCCTCAACTTCTGAGCACAGATATCATCAATACGTTCACTTTGAGCCACCGTCAAGTGCTCCTTCCAGTCTCCTACGGTTCCTGGAAGTGAGGAAAACAATGAAAATAGCTCAATCCAGCAATCTGTACATTATAGCCTCCATATCTAGAGAAGTGATATACATGCTTTCGCCTATCTATGGTTTCATGTATTCAGTCTATTCACTTTGGGCTTCCTGTACCAGCTACACCTTCTCAAAATCAGGTTTGAGGTTGAAGACAGCAGTTTTGCTTACAGTTTTTTTTTTCAATGGAGAGATTGCAGTTGTTTATTAATCTAAACCTTTCCTACTGTGGGAAACAAGAATTAAACAGTGTTGGCAGAGGCCTCTTCTACACTGCCCTATATCCCAGGACCTGATCCCAGATTATCTGCTTTATTTATTTATTTATTTATTTTATTTCCAGTATTTCTATCCCGTTCCTTCTCAACCCCCGAAGGGGGACTCAGGACAGCTTACATTTGGCAGCAATTCAATACCACTACATATAACAAAGCAATATAATAACAATTAAACAATAAATAGAGCATTCTTACAAGCAATAAAACAGTAAAAACAGTTAAATCAGTAAAAACACTGTATTAACAGTGATATCATCATTCCAGTCGAATTCCATATCCAAAGTGCTATATATGCCTGCTGTCCAAAAGCCTGGTCCCAGAACCATGACTTCAATTTCTTGTGAAAAGACTAGAGGGATGAAGCCAATCTTACATCTATAGAAAGTGAGTTCGATAGGTGGGGGGCCATAGCCAAGAAGGCCCCGTCTCTATCCCCACCAGCCGCATTTGTGACACTGGCAGGAGCGAGAGCAGGGCCTCCCCAGACGATCTTAAACTGCAAGGTGGGGCATAGAGGGAGATGCGTTCGGACAAGTAAGCTGGGCCAGAACTGTATAGGGCTTTATAGGTCAAAACCAGCACTTTGAATTGAGCTTGGAAATTGACCGGCAGCCAGTGGAGCTGGCACAACAAGGGAGTGGTATGCTCCCTGTATGTCGCTCCAGTTAGTCTGGCTGCAGCCCGTTGGACTAGTTGTAGTTTCCGAACAGTCTTCAAAGGCAGCCTCACGTAGAGTGCATTGCATAAATCTATTTGGGATGTAACAAGAGCGTGGACCAGATCAGACTTCCCAAGATACAGGTGCAGCTGGTGCACAAGCTTTAACTGTGTGAAAGCTCCTCTGGCCATCGCCGAAACCTGGGATTCCAGGCTCAGCGATAAATCCAGGTTCACTCCCAAGCTGCAAACATGTGTCTTCAGGGGGATTGTAAACCCATCCAACACAGATTGTAAGCCTATGCCCTGTTCAGCCTTTTGACTGATTAGGGGGACCTCTGTCTTGTCTGGAATCAACTTCAATTTGTTAGCCCTCATCCAGTCCGACTCAGCGGCCAAGCACCAGTTCAAAGTCTGAACAGCCTCCTTAGTAGCAGGTGGGAAGGAGTGACAGATTTGGACGTTATCTGCATACAGATAAACTGGATTATATGAGGGCCCAGCCAGGCAGTACCTATATCCCAGGAGCTTCCACAACAAACCGGAGGGTGACCAGAAACAGTTCCCTGTAAATGTGGAAGCAATCACTACCAAAGGCAAAAAACACAAGATTTCCAGGTGCAGGAATATTGTGGTTTTGAGCCAAATATGTGTATCTTCGCATGTCTGTATGTTCCTGCAATTGGAAATCGCAGGATTTTTTTATCTAAGTTTGTTTCCGGGTTTTAGGTGTTTGTTCCTGATTGGAAGGTTCCTAAAAAGAAGGTGACACTTGAATAGAAAGCAAAAAACTTTGTTTGTGTGCCAGAAACTCCATGTAACATGTGGAAGGCACATTTTCTCTACCCAGGACAAAGTTGTGGCCCCTTAGTCAATGTTATACATTTTTTCACAAGAAGAGCAATCCGCATCAGACATTTATAACCCAGGCACAACACTCTGTTGTTTGATGTCACAAGTACACAACCGAACTTGTCTCGACAGATGAGCAGGCGGCCAGATTCAAAAAAGTGTGAATAATGACAAAGTTCTGTTCTTGGCTTGAAACTGTGTGTTCCTGTTTGATTGTGCAGTGCTGACTTGGGCAGAAGTGGTCCTACTGTGTAAACTTTGTGGGGCAAATACTTCATGAAATGTCTAGAAGGCACGGCTTCTTTGGCCAGGGCAAAGAACAGAACTTTGCAGTGTTTCGCTGCAGTGATTCTCCACATATCCGCATTTTGAAGTTTTTTTAAAAAAACTTTCAAAGTTTCCAGCAGAAGTCCCTCTTGGGAGCCCCTAAATCTCGCAACAAACCATCAAGTCTGGACAATGGAGGCAGAAATCCCAGGACCAACAGGTCTGTATGTGGACCTCTTCTGAAGTCCCGGGATTTTTTTGCCCCTGTTTAAAACCCGTGATTTAGTGCTGTCTGGAAGCGCCCTGAGTCTCCACTGCCAGATAATCTGGGATAAAAAGATAATCTGGGATCAGAACCATGTTACAGGGAATTCTGCCTTACTTGGAATAAGCATGTTTCTACTTGCCACCATAAATCAAACCATGGACTATTTGCTTAGCCGTGTGTCATGAAATCTACCTTTGAGACGGCTAGGCCGAAGCCTGCATGACAGTGGCTGTCATCTTGGAAGGCAGG